TACATCTATGTATAGGGAGAGAATGAAACTGGGAGGACCCTTTTGTTGGGGCCGGAATGTGCGAGTGTGTCTTACCCCATTGATCCGATGATGACTGGCCCTGAGGCTATCCCGATCCCACCCAGAGGCAGGTCAGGGTATATGCTATTATAAGGACGATTTAACAAGATTATTTTAAATTAAGAGGATGTAAAGCCTTCAAGAGTGGATAGCTTAATCACTTTCTAGCGGACATCCCTTTAATATGATTTCCCTTTTCCAACCCCTCTGTAAAGGGTATATGCTAGTCCATTATACCCCAATAAATTGGCTCCCTTTGTGCTTTACGTCTCCCCGCCCTGGGCCCCGGGCCACGGGCCGTGCATAAACCTTAACTTTATTTACGTGCTTGATTAGAAGTAGGGAACCCGTAGGGGTATTTTCTGTTTTGTGTTGTTTAGCGACGCTATCAATCTGATGTCCCCACATGCCCCACTTGCTCCAATTGCCCCGGGTGCCCCGAGCCCGCCATCGCCAATCCCCGCCCCAAAGTCGTGTTAATACCCTTTGGCGTCACCGTTATGACCGAGTGTGTGCGGCGTGGTATGGAATGGAGGCTTCAAATAGTGTTCCTTATCACTGTGGAAGCAAAAACTTAATTGAACGGCTTTTGACACAGTTTGGGCCAAAAGAACCATAAACACTGTTCGGCAGGCACGCCCCTTTCTTTCGGATTGGATTGGAAAATGGGCTCTGTTGTTGGCAGAATTTGTTTCGCTTGTGAATGGCACATCATTTGGCAGATGGAGCCCAGGACACAGACTTTGAATCAGTCCCCGAAAATCGCGGAAAAGTCAAATGTCACGCCAAACCAGCGCCACTAACAAATGCAGCAAAATGCAGCAACTTCAAGCTGCTTTCCACTGATTGCGAAAATCATGCCGCCAAGAAAAAATTGTATTAGAAAACGAAGTCGACTAGGAGGTACCTGGTAGTACTTGGTAGTACTTAATAAAGTTTTAAGAAAGGAAGTTATACCTTCTTGTTATCATCTCCTCCACCATCATAAATATAGTTCAACCTTTTCTTATTTAATTTTTCTCCTTAACAATAGTCAAACTAACCATGTTAAGCCCAACTACCCAGTCCTAGAAAGAGTGGCCCAAATGTGGCATCTGACAGGACAGAGTAGAGTTGACCTCCCTGCAGCTTCTGCAGCTGCAACATGCAACCCATTTGCCACAGCAGCTTCCCCGGCTTCACTTGCAACAAAGTGAAATTTTTGTCAATGTGGCTGGGAGGCGTTGGCCAGAAAGGGGATTGAGTTATGAGTGTCAGCCACCCATCGAGCCATCTAGCCCGTCATTGAAGTAAATTAGGGAAGGTAAGGAGGTGGGGGAGCTGTGCATATTTGCAGGCGGAAAAGGATCAGATGCACAGGCTGCTCTGGCAAAGGATGTATGCGAATATTCTGGCCCGGAATTGGATAGTCAAAGCTCCGGATCCGGCTCTTGGAGCAGCCAATTTGATGACCAAGAGACCATCTAAGATGTCTGGCTCCATGGGAGAGTAAATTTGGCAAGTAAATGAAGGAGTTGTTGGTACAAGGGTAATGATTTCAGACCTGCACAGATGGGACTTTAAATGGAGCAGAAATTTGATTTATAATCGATCATAAATTAAATAACTTTCAAACTCCAGCGGTGTACAGCGGATTACATTTTGCAAATTTGCAGTTTCCAGGTGATGCACGACCCCACAGGTAATTAATTAGGCATTTAATTGAATTAGCAAATTGCCCAGAGGTCATGTCACGGACCTGAAATGGGTTTTTGCGCTAATTTCGGGTTAAATGCAATGGAAACGATTACAAAACGTGACGGGGCTTTAAAACGGCGAACAGGAATGCCATGAATTATGAAACATAATTTACACCTGTGCGGGTGCATGTAATATCAGAATTTAAAGCAGGTCCTAGGTCCTATGTTCTACCTGGCATATAGAGACATAAATATATGAGAACCCTCGGAGGTTCTGTGTGTATCCATTCCGGGTGACAAACTCGGGCAATTTCCGCTCCACGGAAATGTGAACAATTTAATTTTGGCCAGCGTTTGCTGGCAGGGGCTCTTCTTACTTCCCCCCATTATTTTTTCCGAGAGGGTCTTCATGAAACATCTTGTGGTCTAGCCAGGCAGAAGTTTGGACAACTCCCATCCGAAGATCTCTCCGCGGAGTTGATAATTTTCCGCTCGAGTGTGTTGCAGACTCACTCTGTTGCTTTTAATTAGAATCCGCAAGAGCTGAGGCAAAGGCCTCGTCTTTGCCGCAAAAATGAAATGTACTCACACATGACTGCCGCCCGGAGGTTGAAGTTTTTGGGACTGAGAGCCTCCTAAGATAATTTTTTGCCGTGAAAACATAAATTCAAGTTGTTGTTATTACCACGCACATTCACTCACGTTTCGGGCCATGTTTCCCCCGAAATTTTCTTGGAAAATTAACAGCACTCGTGGCTTTGATTTATCGCGATAAGCGGATGTTGTTGTTTGGGGCAGGGTGGGGCCCGGGTGGTGCCTCGGATTCCGATTTTGTCAGGCCCACATCCACATGCCCACATTTACATGCAGATTGATTTCGGGCCTTTAATTAAGTTATCTAGTTTCGGCATTTTGATACGCCGGGTAATTGAAAATCAAGGCTGAGTTATTTTGGCCCTTAGGGAGGTTGTATTCGAGTTCAATAGTTGGATTAGTTGGACTGATTAAGGACGGGATTTGCAGAGAGGACACAGACACAGACACTGTGAGAAAAATGTGTCACTCTGCCCCCGCAATAAGAACCTCTTGAGGTGGTTCTGACTGTGAATTCAACGCACTATTTAAGCGAAATGACAGGCACATAAATTAATTAAAAGTCGGAAACAGATAAAAATATAATGCAAAGAAAGGCAGGCCGAATCCAGAGTCAGAGGAAGGCGGAAAGTGCCGCAGACACAAACAAATTACAGTTGGGCTGACAATAATTAAAGCCACTGCTCACAGGCGGCAACTACAACAATAAACAGCTGCATGCAACCAGCAACGAGGCAGCCTCCTCCTCATGCAACACCCGGTGTAAAAATACAGAAATAAAACAAGCGGCTTCTTCGCTCGTCATATGCAGTTTGAAGGGCGGCATCCGCACATGCAACTCCATGCGGCAATCAAGAGGATGCAACGGACACAAATTGAAAAAGTAAACCAACTGCGACACCCAATTTAAGCCAAACTGGGGACAGTGAGATCTCACTAAGAATGACTCTCAAAAAGGAAATTCAACCTCTGTGAAACCCAGAACTTTCCTTAAATACTGAATATACATATATTGAAGCTCAAATGGGTATGAATTAAAAATGCTCAACTGTTTCAGAGTTTTTAGTGCCCCATCACCCTGATCTACCCACTCCCCAAGCTCTCATGTTCATAATCTTCGTACACTTTAATTGTTAAGCAAATATTCAGAAAAAAAAGAGAGTAAAGAGGGAGACCCATTAAAGGCCAGACATTTGTTTAGTTTTATTACAGCTGACCTCGAGGTCGTCGGTTACTTATTCTCGAGTTGAGTTTTCTTGTTTTTGGAGCACAGTTGGGAGGAAGAGTTCTGTCTTTAGAGGGGGACTGGGGCCCTAAAATAAACACATGTGATGACCACTTAAGTTGGTCAAAATTTGTTGGGAAGAGAAAAGTTCTCATCCAATTAGCACACTGTAGAAGCAAAATTAAATTATAAGTTCAGCAATTTGAGGCTTTGAATGACTTGTCTGAGAGGTCCGGCCAAATATTTGGTGATTACGTGAACTGAGAAATGGCAGAGAAATGCTGTAAGCCATTTAATTTATTCAAACATCTTTGTCATTCCAAAAAATGATAGAAATTTGGCTTTTTCTCATGCAAATATGGCTCATATCTTAAGGGGTTATATACCTTTTTTATTTTCAAAAAAACGAAAATTTTTTTAGTGGTTTATCTTGAAGAACAACTCCTTGAGAACATTCTCCCATATTTTCATAGAGATTGGAGCAGTAGAAAAAAAGTTACAGCGCTCCTAATCGCACGCCTCGTTGCGGCCTTGAACTGAACTTGAAACTTTAAACGCGAATATCTCGAAATGGTGTTTCTTGAAAAATGACTTTGCGGTGACATGGATTGCCGGAAAACTACTGAACCGATTTACTTCAAATTTTTTTTAAAATGTTCGTAATGAAATTCTCTTGTGCTTGAACGATCGACTTTTCACGCGCAAACTTTTTTTTCTGCGAAATAAATTTTTTAGTGAAATTTCTAGAGACCAAAACTTTAATTTTTAGCATAAAACGCTGCCATATCCAAACAAAAACAAAAAATTTTAAAATCGATCGTTCAAGCACAAGAGATTACTCTAAACTAATGAAATATTTTTACTTTTATGGTTTAAGTTGACCTGTTTGACCTGGGGAACTGTCACCGCAAGGCTCTAAAAAAAAAAGGCCTCTAAGGGAAACGGCCACCCCTTAAAAACTATTTAATATTTTTCCACCAAATTTTGCACAAACATTGTTAATAAAGTGTACTATCAAAAAATTAAAACATCCGTGTAATTAAATAATTGCTACATACCTAAAAAAAAATCCGAACTTTGCTCATTTTCTTCGACAAAGAAGGTATATAACCCCTTAAGGTCTGAAACGAAAATAACAAATACTGCCTCTAGTTAAGCCACTTTAACTTATTTAAGCTCTTGAAAATGTTGCAAAACGAGGGCATAGACTGTGCATAGACTTGTTAAAAAAAAAGAAACCAAAAAAAAATAGAAACAATGACAGCAAAACCGAAAAGTCATATGTCAATTGGCTAATTAAAGGCGACTGCACCGATAACCTTTCATGTCAGTCTCGAGGGGAGCTTTATTTCTCATAGACTCAGAGCCTCAGTTTCAAGTTTACATTTGAGCTCCGTATTTGGGCATCTGGCTAATGGATTCTACTTTTTTTCTCCTTGCAGTTAACCTCGGCAACAGATCCAGAAATCATGGTAAGTTAACAGGCCTAATTGGAGAACAGCTTTACACGAAAATTAGCAAGAGGATTGCATGTGTTCTTCCCCGGCATATTCCCCTGGGGGAAATATTTCATAATTTATTCGCGGAGAAACGAAAATTGTATGCTTCTGCGTGGCATAATTCACATAATTTATGCTCCATCCGAACACGACGATGAAAGCAACTTTGTACTTGCTTTTTAAATTTGACTTGCGAGGAGTTTTCGGGCTGGGTGGCTGCCATTTGACCGCTTAATGTGGAATGAGTAATGTTTAAATGTAACCAGGACAATGGCAGCCAAGATTGTGCCAAAGGGAGTTGCCGCATCCGGAGTCTCTTCCCCTCCCTGCCATCTCCTCGCAATTTATATTCGACACTTGCCTCGCTTGCCACACCCGGCGAACGAACTGGGTCACAACATGTGAAGAGCTCCCAGGTCAGGAGGCTTGGAATTGTTAGGGTCCTGCAACCCTATTCCCGGAACCCTGTTCGTTTGATTGAATTTCAATTTTAATGCCCGGCCAGGACAGACCAGAAGTCGAAAAGTTTTCTTTTCCGACACGATTTCCGACACTTTCCAGGTCATTTATCCCCAAAAGCTTAGCTCCGACTCGGCCACAATTAATTTAATGGCTTTTTGGGGGGCCTCCAAGGGGGCAGAGGGGACTGGCCAAAAGTTTTCATTAATGTAAAACACTTTACGCACTCATTAGAGTCATTTGTTTGCGACATCTCTATCTCGGTCTGTGGATGATAAATGTGTCCATAATGCAGCCTAATTGCGGCATCATTAGAGGCGCCTCTCAGGCCTGATTGCCGCACCCCCACTGGAGTCTCCGGCTTGAAGAGGCACTGGGAGAAAGCTTTACAAAATCAATAGTATATCTGCCGAGAGTCTGGAAGATGAGTGCGGCAAATGGACACCCGGATGTGACTCTTGCTTGTTTTTTGAGGCGGCGAGGGGGTCCTGTCAGGTCGGATTGGCAACAATACAAATCAAATTTAATGATAAACTCGAATGGAAGCACATGTCTTTTCCGCCCGAGCTGCTATCGTCCCAAATCATGTATACTATACCTACCTACAAGACGTAAACAACAACAGACACATCGAAATGACTAATTTAATGCGTCGGGAGCTCGGCGTCGGGGTGACGTTACGTATACGCACGGTGGCCCGAGGACCTTTTGGCATTTTGCAAAGTTAACGAAGCGAGCGAGAGGCAAACAGGATCAGGCAGACAGAGACGGCAAGGACAACAATGGCGGAACTCTGCGACCATAATATACTGGATTTTATTTATAGCATAATTTCAGGTGTCGTGCCAACAAAGTGTTGAAAAGGATGCACAAATTAAAGGACCTGGCAGCTTAGAGTTCCCTTAGAGTCTAACTTAGTTTAGCGATAAAATGTGGGCTTTATTTCGCGTCTCCTCAACTTTACTTTTAGACCGTCACGGGTCCGAATAAAGGGCGCCGGCTGGTGAGCCACCTCTATGGTCTCGGCCAGGTTCGGGTCCAGTTCCAGGCGGAAGTTCTGCAGCATTTTGATGAGCGCCACTTTGATTACCAGCTTGGCAAAGTTTTGGCCTATAAATGGGAAGAGACTTATGTTTTAAAACACTTTTATTGGCCACATTCAAAAGTACTTACCCACGCACTGAGCCCCGCCAATCCCGAAGCCCATGAAGGCATTGGCTTTGCTCTCCTTTTGGCAGGCACCTGATCCATTCTCCGCCAGAAATCTGAGGGGCTTGTACTTCAAAGGCTCACTAAAGTATTTCTCGTCCCTATGGATGGCCAGAAGAGGCACCATCAGGGTCTTGCCCTCGTCTATGGTGAGCTTGGAATTGGGCAGGGGATATGTCTTTCGGCATATCCTCTCAATAATGGGCACTGGCGGGTATTTCCGGACAGTCTCTGTGAAGAAAACTCTATAAATATTACCCAACTTCATACAAATGAGAAGTTTACATACCTTTAAGGCACATATCCATGTATTTGAGTCCCTCCAGCTCCTCAAACTTGAGCTTACCATTCTCATTACTTAGATCGCTGACTTCCGCCAGGAGTTTCTCCACAATCAGGGGTTCCTGCAGAATCTCAAAGAGGGTGAGGGTAACCGTGGAGGACACAGAGTCCAAGGAGACTTTCAGTAAATCCTCAGCCACTTTTGCAAGGCGCTTGATGGACAGACATTTATCTTGATCTGAAAAATATTAATTAAAGTATAAGGATTATAATTGAAACAGAGGATTAAAAACCCACCACTATTTGATTCTATCTGCCACTTTTCGCCACTGACTTCGTTTCCATTCCTAAATCTCACTAGAAGTTGGAGTATGTCCTTCCGTATGAGACCGTGATCCTCTCGCAACTCAACGCTTTGTTTAATGAGGTCCCTGAGTCGGTAGGTGAAGGAGGATTTCTGGGGCAAACGGCTTAGAGTGCTGGAAATATACATTTTGTAATCCCGCACTGTCGTAAGAAATGAAATACTTACAAGGATTGTATGGTGGACTGTCCCCGACTCAAGAAGCTTGTAAAAATGTGATCCTTTTGCTCGAAGTTGTTCACATCCAAGCCGTAGATGAGGTTGCCGATGATGTTGATGGAGTAACTACAAGAAAAGATTGTAAACCTGGGAATACCAAGTATATTTTATAACTTACACTCTCAAAAGCTGTTGCATATCCACTTCGAGTAATCCCCCCTGACCCTGATCTTTGTCCAAGAGGTGGCTAATCAGGTGATCACCTACTTTTTGGACCTGCCCGAACATATCTGCCAGTCTTTTAGTTCCAAACGCCGGGGCTAGCTTCTCCAGCAGGTTGAATCTGCGGTACCCCCTAACATAGTCCCACTTAAGCTCGTTGAAGTGCCCGTTCGACTGCTGGAGGATCGTCTGGGCCAGCTCCACGCTCCGCACGAGCAGCACGGGCCTGAAGAAGCAGTAGATGCCGAGTAGTCGGTCCTTACCCGCCTGGTATGCCTCGCAGATGGCCTCCACGTGTCGGAATTCCCGCCGGTATGCATGAAGCAGGAAAGTCCATGTGATGCCGGCCCGCTCCGAGGGAAATCCCCGCCGCTTCCAGTGGCTGTAGATGTGCCGCACGGACAGGAATATTGCCGAGTAGAGGAGGATAGGTATGAGCAGCCACATGTTGTGTTTCCGACGCGCCTTGACAGACTGAAGCTAAAACTGAAGACGATTCTGAGGACGTCTGGACGCGGAACTCGGAGGAGATAATTACTCTGAGTTGGCAGGCCAGCAGAGTGCACCGAAAGAAAAAGTCTCTAATTGATTGTACGCAAAAGAGAGACTATATCACAAAACTTTCATTCTTCACTTTCAGTCCAAATCAAAACATTGGATTCGTTTTATAATCGATAGCTAATCATCCAATTAATTAAACGAGTCAAAATTTTTCTCCGTGAAGCACCAGAATGATAATGGCTATGGCCGCGGGTGCCGAACGAAATCGAAAGTCGCGATCGACTCGCCGCCCGTCTGGCAACTGACATTGCAAGTCAATCTTGTCCCAAACCGCACAAACTGAAACCCAAGCAGAATTCGAAGCAACAAAAAGCCAAATACCGGGCATTGCAATCACTCCGCATACACACACATGTGGTTCTTATATGGTTATCTCTCGATCCTCTCTTGGTAGTCGTCCTGATAGTAATTTATTCGGGAGGGGCTGTACCATGTTATTATCAGAGTCTGTGCCAGTTTTTGTGCCTCTCGAGAGGGGTAGAACAGGTTCCTGGGGGCCCTTGAGCCCATATAGGGGTTACAGGCTACCTGACAACCCATCTTTAGTTAAGGTGGCTTGCTTATATTCCACGTCTCTGAGGGCTAGATCAGTTTCTTATCAGTTTGTTTACACTCTCCAGCTCCCAATAAGCCCCTGATAAGACTACATCTCTCAGGCTGATAAGCTACTAAATCTCTCTAGAAAACGCACCGTCAGCAGACAAGCCTCAATGGAATTCGATTAACTGCCACTTTAATCAATGAGACCTGGACTAGCTGAGATCTAGCATCTCCGGGTGTGTCTTGGCAACTGCCACAAGAAGCCCTGCAAGTTTATTGACTTCCTGCCGTTTATAGTTTTGTAATTGGAGCCTCCAGTTCCACGTTAGGTGCAAACTTTCATAACAATCTCCTTGCCAATTACGATTTCCACTAAGCATTGGTCTCTCATTTTTTTAGTGCTGATGCCAGGCAATTATCGTTTTAGCCAGGCTGCCTCGAAAGTGTCAATTTCAATGCCTAGCCAAGTGAATAAAGGCAGTCCTCTCCGGCCACTCCACTCCACTTTACTCCACTCCAGACCAAGTTGGCAAAAAAGCTAAACTTGTTAATCACGCCCATTGCAAGCTGAAAAAAATGCAAATTGTGTAAAAAAGGTAGCGACAAAAAACATCACAAAGCCGCTGAAAATGCACTCAAATCGTTGTTGCACCGGAGGCAGTTTTCCGGAGGAAGGAGGAGGTACAACTCTCTACCCTTCCCTGGGGAACCACTTGTTGCTGCTCCACATAATTGCCATGGCCTGTGGGAATTTGATTTAAATGAACCCGCATCTGAACCCACATATTTATGCATCTTGCGTCGAGTTATTCCACACAATTTGCCACAACTGTGTTGCACTTTGGGTTAGGAGGCCACATCCCATCGCCGAGGGCTGGCCAAAAGCCACTTCTGGCTGATATCTGCCAATAGTGGATGCTGCCAACTCATGGCAGCAACAGCTTGTTGCCACACTCTCTTGCCAAGAATCGTACATGTCATGCCTGAAATTGAATAAAGTCAGCAAATGTATGAGGGAGGGGCCTCTCCTTTTTTTGTGGCCTGCCCATGACTCGGCAGATCCTGAAGGAGCCGAAACTATTGTCCAAAAATAATTTAGAAATTATGCAGAAACGGCTCAGAACCGCAGAGTCATCATTTATTTGAATACTTTTTGCATAAGGGGGCTTATCTGACAATTCATTTACTAAAAAAATTGTTAATGAACTTTTTTTTATTTTTATTATTTAATTTTATGGCCGATTTGTCACCAGCATGTACAACTTTTAACGTCAGTGATTCATTCGAATATGAAGTCATATCGTATTGAGTCTCAAACCATTTGTTTTGCATTATTTCTTGGCCCGACACGTGTCTATATATTTTGATGAGCTGCTTGTTTTCCCACATATAATTTTAATTATTCCACGACTGGGATACACGGCTAATATCGAGGGGTATGGTGCCGGGAGGGGCTTATTCATTTTCCCCGGAATTGTTACGTAAATACTTTGTTGCCATTTCAATTCGTTCATAAATCAAAACGTGGTCCCCAGAGCTAAATGAAATTTGAGTGAAAAACTGTGTAGACAGGGAGAGAATCTGGTTCATTCTGGGTTGTATAAATTATTCCTATATGGCTAAGCTTTGTTCTGAGTGTATATTGTTAGTCAGCCACTTGACAGGCAATAGTCTGGCCCGTCCTTTGGATTTTTCCATGAACAATACAAAGCTTTGTACGACAGTTTGTGGTTCTCCTCGACTGCGAGAACTGGCGACTGCGAACTGCCAAGTTCATGAGCAAATGCTAAAAAGCAAAAAGCAGGAAAAATACATATTTACATGCAAATTACTCATTGGGAAGATGAGTGCATCTAACAAAAGGGGGGTTCTGAAGCTTCGCTCAGAAATTTGCATGTTTATGTGAAAAAATATTCGGTTGTTGTTATGAAAATTTCTCGCTTTTCTTGTTAGAGGAGCTTGATGGAATTTCGCGATCTGGGTCTGAAATAGATTGAAGTTTGGCCCTGGATCTGTCATCAAAATGCAGCGTGCAGATATGCTTGTATGAAAATTGGGTTTTAATAACAAATTCAATTTAACCCGGGATCTCTTTCTGGGCCCACATACGTGAGTGCCAGCAACAACTATAATTGCTTGTCCCCGGGAAGAAAGGAGGCGGAAAGGAGTGGCAGTGGCAGTGGCAGGGGCAGACCGAGGTCAGGCGAGACGAGAGGCTTTGTGCATTTTAATTGAATTTTTGCCCCTTGTTGCTCGGCTGCCTTGCCACCGACTCCGTCACAGAAAAAATTAAATCACAGCACGTTTGCTCTTAGTCCGCACCATTTTTCCGATGCACTTGAGTGGCTTTCCATAAAGCGGTGAACGAAAAAAACAAACACGAGCTCGAAATGAATCAGAAATTAACATAAAGGCCTCAAAGTCAACCATCCAACTGTATCTGCATCTGTTGCTTTACTTTCCCACTAGGCATTGTTAGCTGACCACGCCCGTGGTCCGCCCCCAGCCTAACGGTTTCAATTGTTGAACATGCACAGCAATTTGTTTGATTTGACCCGCCCCTCTCGTGACCCCTGACCTGCCCCACGATCGAGTGTTTTGTGTGGGATTTCCTGGCCTTCTTTCAGGCAGAGAAACACGGTTCGGTCTACCTGTGATGGCTACCTTTCTTTTCAGGGCCCACAAGCCTCGTTTTTGGTTAAAACCCACCCGCCCTTCCTCCTCGGAGCTGTCAATTTCAAACATTTGTCAACTGTCACAAATAAAGTGAAATATGAAATTTTGTGACATGTTTTTTTTCGCAAATCCCCCGGGGTGGTCGGCAGAGGCGTGTGCCTGACCTGCAAACGCTCTTTTGTCTTTAAACATTCACAAATTTAAAGTCATACTTAAACATTCCCCTGTCTAAATATTTAAACTCCCAAAGACCCCCGAAGATCTTGCACGCACAGACACCACAATTTCCAATTAATTGGCCAACTTCGAATGGGTAAATATAATAGCCATAAATAATGGCAGTGTTGATTTTTTCCGATTATTAGCTCAAAACACACACAAGGTCGTAAATAAAAGCAAGAATTACGCATACGCCGCATGGTACGGCCGGGCCTGACATTGAACTTCGATATTCCCAAGGTCCGCTATGGTTGCAGTTGGGGGAGGACTAGGGGGAGGACATTAAATATTCGTTTGGTAGTCGGCTGCCATGACAACAGTAAAAAGTGGCCCCCACAGAGGGCAAGAGATAGCGAAAGAGGGACAATATTTTTAATTGTTTGACCAAAGCGTTCGATAAACATAGACAAGGCAGGAGCGTGGAGGAGGACCTCCCCAGGGGGTGAGATTTCGGCTGCTTGGGGGCGGTGATGGAGGCTCGTAATGAAGCTACATAAATCTCGGCACTAAATATATTTGCCAAGTTTTCAGGGCCGGGGACCAGAGAAGGCAAACTGAGAGGCAATTAATCTTTGCCGGGATATAGATGCGAGTTTCCCAACAGCTGAAGTCACACAAATAGCTAACTGAGAAGTTGAAAAAGTATACTAGGATAAAAATCCTATTATTTCCACCGCAACTGTGGCTATAAACTTTTTCGGCTGCCAAGCCCGAGACACGTAAAAAAACACTCAGGGGAGGCAGGCCGGATGCCTTCTGGGATGGGCAGAGGACATCCAGGACCGCAAAAGTAATAGCACAATAAATGTGCATCTGCCAGCAGCCAGAAATCACCGCAGTTAAGGAGCCTTCGTCCTTCCGCTGGCTCCCCTGTGCGTGTAAATTATAGATAACCGTGTTAATGTTGCAGCATCCTTCGCCGCATGGACCACAATCTGGGCGTCTTCCGGAAGACAAACAAAGTTGCCAAAAGAAAAGTTTTTGGCTCCCGAAAGTGTGCCAAAGGAGCGTGTCCTGGCCAAGTTTCCTTCTCGCTGATACATGTCAAAAGGCTCTCACATAGTTGTTGATTATTATTTATTGGCGGTGACAACTTCGAAAACACGTTCGACTGTTTAGCACTTTCCACTTTCGGGCTTCGGGTTTCACTTCCACCCCCACAGGAGTGCTCGGAAAATTAGCAATTTAAATAATTTAATTACGCCGTGACCTGCAATTTGCGGCGCTAATTAAAACGTGCCAATGTCCACGTGCCTCGCCAAACTTTCCAGCCATTCGAGTCTGAGTATTTGAGTAGCAAATTTGAACGCTTCATATTCATTAGGAATTCGCTTTGGCCGTAAGTACACGTAGTGTTGGCCCTGCCTGTGATACATTTTTGGGGTATTTGCATAGGACGTGCGGTCTTTGATATGTAGATTTCCACGGAGCTTCCATGCAAATGTATCACTCTGCCGGAATCCTAATTGGTTTAGTTGGATTAGTTAGAGACTATTTTGTTTATTTACCCACAACTTGGATGACTTTGCCTGCCGTGTTTAAATTGGCAAAACTTTCAGGTAAATGTATTTTTAGTTTGCCACTCTCTCCGATTAAAATCTGAAAGATTAGCAGAACCAGGGATCAAGCGGCGTATGCGCAATTAATCCTCTCAAAACCCCAATAAACACTCACTTGACTTCTAATCGAATTACTGGATGAACTTAGTCAATAATTATTTAAACAATTCCAAATCGACCAACAATAACTGAATGAATTTTGGCAAATTGCTCAGTGGGCATAAATATGCGAATTATTCTCTGTTTACGATTTGAGTTTCTGGAGCGGAAATTGATTGTGTTTAATTTCCAACAGAGCGACCACAGAGCACGGTATGCCGATTCTTCGGGCTTTTTTATTTGGCAGCAATTGCAGCAATGCAACAAAGTAAATAACAAATTAGGGGAAGCGTGAAGAGGGCGCCCTGAACTGAAAACGAAACTGGTGTTGGGACTGCCAATTGTTTACCCTCGACTGACTGTTTGGGAAATATTCGCACTTAAAGGAAGATGAATCTTTAAGTCAGCTTTAAAACGACATATTCTTATAAAACGCCTTCAAAAAATGAAAACATCCCTAACCAGACCTCAATATTGTCTAATTTTTTAAGTTTTTTTCTAATGGAACCTCTTTTATAAAACTTTTGAAAATATTTAAGCAAAACTTGTACTGTACAAGTACAAGTTCTACATAATTTTTTTTTTTTTATTTTTTGAATAGTATCTGAGACAGAAACTTTTGAATGGGTATCTTCTAATCGTCACCTTTTTTGAAAACGCTTTCTATCGTTTTTCGTTGTTTTCGGTTGCCAACTTTTCCGAGGTGCCGACGAGTGGCAAAGGGAATTGCATTAACTCCTCTGGGAGCGAAACCGCAGCCGAAAAGCTTTTGCCACAGAAATCTAATTTGGCACTCTGCTCTTTTTTTTTTTTGCATTTTTCAGATGTCGCACCAACTGCAGCAGACACGTCGCCGGCTGGGATCCGTGAGTGACTCGGCGCCGCCATCAGAGTCCAGCGATGGCACCGGCTCGTCCTCGGAGCCCCGGGAGGAGCTGATCCTACACGCGGACTGGTCCGCCCACTCGCACTCCTCAGCTCAGAGGAGCAGCGCCCATGGCACCACCTCGCTGTACAACGCCTCGGACATCGACGCGGACACCATCAGCACGGACACCACCAGCAACACAAACCTCTCGGACTACGAGCGCGGTCAGGTGGAAAGCTTCTTCGGTGGACTGGGCACAGAGATCTTCGTTAGCGGCGCTCTGGCCAATCTTTATGAGGGCACCGGCAACGATGGCGACTGGCGCCTGGTCTTCACCGGTATCCCGGTGATTCTTCACGACAAGGGCAACTCCCGGGCCCGGGCCATGCCCCGGGTGACCCTGGTGCTGGCCGAGCGGGGCTCGTGCTTCGCCCTCTGGTCGGACAGGATCGATAATCTGTCCAACTACCGGATCGCCGGACCCTCCTTCCACACCATGTGCCTTTCGAGCAACCACCAGCAGATGATCGGCTTCAGCTTCGACTCCACGGATGCGGCCCGCGAGCTGTGGCAGCACGTGGAGCGGCTGGTAAGCGACCCAGAGAACATAGCCCTGACCGTGTCCGGAGGCGGCCGGAAGCCGAAGAAGCAGAAGCGCGCAAAGCCGGCCCCCCTGCCGCCCAAGTCACAGATTTCGCACCCGTGCCAGTTCCATCACGTGACCAGCGTGGTGAAGGAGGACTCCGAGCGGTACTACAGCATGCAGGCCTTCGGGCCGCCAAATCCCCAGCAGCATCGTTGAGTAGGGTCGGGCGCGTGGATCTGGAACACGAGCGCCCTCTGGTGGCAGAACTGAGCCGGCCCCTCCACCCTCGACCTCTGACCCACTGCACCACTGAAAAAAAATCCAGCAAATCACCCGTAGGTTATAGTTTTGTTATAGGCCGTTATACATATGTGCGGAAGTGGCACATTTATCTGTGATACGATTTAGGCGTCTTTAATTTTTAGATGAAAAAAAAATCGAGTAACTGACACAAGATTTAATATAAAATTACATTTTGTAAGAAACACAAAAGTTAGAAGAATTACGGAGAACCCTTCATAGCTATTAACAATACACATATTACTATTAACGTTTTTGTAAACCCTTTTCTAGTATCGAACACTTAACCATAATTATGTATGAATAAAGATATATACCATATAGTCCGATATCGATCGAGTAATGTCTGCTGGTTTGCAGGCAGAAGAGGAAACTGTTTTTTAAAATCTATCATATTACATAATGAATATATACGCTATATATTACACCTATCTATATATTATATGTGTAGCTCTAAGCATTGCATAACCTGTATCTGTATATCTCTGAACTTTTATTTTGTCTGAGCCAAACCAACGCAAAAATCAAATAAAGCCGAGAGAAAAAAAAGCCTAGTTCTTTTAGATTATTATTCTGTGTTGAGTAATACTTAGCATCAAATGGTTTAAATTCCAAAGTCTCAAGCTCAATGACATAATCTGCCCATCAAACTTCAATCAAGCCCCCATCGACTCAATTATTTACCATCGAGTGCACCACCAATTACAATGACAATTAAAGCCATCACGGCGAGAGGAGTGTGCCCGCATAATAATGTGTCTGGATCTGAGGGGATATAAATATATATGTATATATGTATATATATGTATATATGTATATAATATATGTATACTGGATATTGGAGATATGGACCGAAACGGGAGCACACTCCGACTCTGATTCTGATTCTGATTGACCGCTGCCAGCAATAAATGTTATTGCGGTGCACTCGTCTGACACTGGATCTCTCTTAATTCATTCCACTTTCGGCCAGTTGCACAACCAGCAGTGGCAAGTGGCAAGTGGGTAGTGGCTAGTGGCAGCCACACGATGCACATTTATGCTAATTAAGACACATCGAGTGGCAGTGGCAGCAGCGTCCGTGCGACAATCTCTTTCTGCCGCCTGGCTTGCGTTTTATGGCTGCTCTTTGTTTTATTGTTTTGCGTTTAATGATATTATGGGGCACATTTATTATTTCATACTGGACAATTAAAATCAACCATTTTTGCCCGTCTCGTTGAATAATGTGCAGTTATGTTGACTTGGCCAACTCCAGCCATCAACTCGCAGCTCCCTGCAGACGGCTCGAATGGATCTAACCGACTGATGCAATGCCATCGCAATTGTTTTCACTCGGCTTCCCATTGCAGAAAGTCTAATTAACTCACGACCTTGATTAATTGCAGAAAACCCGAAACAATGGGAGGGAATAACGTCGCAGGAAGTAGGTTAAGCTCCGAAATGGGTCTAGTGGGTGAACTGTCTGGCGATAATGGGTCATCTATAAAAGGGTAAACCACTCTTTTTCAATGGTAATCATTTCAAAGGACCTCTATAGTTGAAACACCACCACATATCTGGATAATATGTATTGGATTTGACCAGTTTATCCAATTCATTTCCCCAAACTCACCCAAAACTCATCATCATTCAAATTGAAAAGCAAAGCGTTTTAATCAAAAACTAGCTAAGCCCCAAAAATGCTGTTTGGCATTCCAGAACTTCGGGTGTGTGTGTACAACCTCGTGTGCGCGTGTGTAACTTCGAATGGTTGCATTTTTGATGGGGCCATGCCATTGTCCGTGCTCCGTACTCTCCGTAAACGGGCTAATGGGGAAGCAATCCCCATGATTCCGCAGCTGCCATTCCTGTGAACCGGATTACTGATCCCTGGCAAAACATGCAAATTCATTTCAGACTCCGGCTCAGCTTTCAACTTTGTGGAAAATTCAAAAATTGCATTGCTTTCGGTTTCAAACACACAGATTGGCCCCCACACACGATGCACTGAAAATAAATGGTTGAATTTATAATTTTTTCATAGATAAGTTGGAAACCCAAGTGTATGTATATTGCTGAGAGACTGTGGGTGCCTGGGCGAGCCGCAAACATTTTTATTATTTTATTCGACTGGCGCAAAAGTGCGGCCTTATTGTTGCCAACAAACAATAAGCGGAAGCTTGTGGCTTCAACAAATCTCGACAGAACTCAGAGGGTCTGGAGGGACTAGAGTTGGAATGTGGCAAGTTGGCAAAAATGTCAATGCAAGCCCACAATCAACAGCATTAAAATCATCTCAGATGCCAGTCAGGCCCCACCAGATGATGATGATGATGATGCTGCCACCGGATCTTTTGTGCTCCAAAAAGAAAAAAACCATTAAGTCTGAAAGAGGAGCTCCAAGGTAAGGCGTTGGTTCCTACTTTTTTCCTAAGGCAGCTTTTCAACGCGTGTTCTGTATTTGTAAACAATTTCGTGTGACACCAAAGGCACTTGTGACCTTACTTTCTGCTCCGCCCTGCGCCCCTTGGCCTAAGCATATATTTATTCTGGCCCCTACGCATTCGTTTTGGCTTTTCTGGCTTAAACTTGTTCCCATTTCCATAGTCTGTGTTCTAGTTTTTGGTCAAAAGAGAGCATTCCCGTGGGGTGGCCCTTTCTTGGATAAAAGGCCTCGAGGAAATCTGCAATTTTTGTTTAAATTTAATAAAGTTTCCTATTTAAAACTTTATGATCCCTAGACTCTCAAGCAATTTGCTTGGAGCGCAAAGTGTTAAATCAAATTCTCAACGATATTAATTATGGGCTGGGCCCTGTCTTCCCTAGTCTGGCTTCTTCCACACCTGAGTGACTGCGGCTCTAATGGCCGCATCTCCTCTGACTCCGACTTCGACTCCACGGTGGGACTCCTCCTACTCCCTGCAACTCCACAGAAAGATCAAAAGTCGCCAAGAGATGGGGGATGTGCAGATCAAAGAGCCAAACCTGTTGCAAGCCAAAACGAAATGGGCTCCCTGCTGCTAGCGACTCACATGGCCGGCTCATGTGGCAAGATCTTCCAGAACTGGAGGGGACGACCCGGGCACATATGTGGCAATCACTACCACCCCCTTGGCCCACCTGAAACGTGTTTTCCGCATAATACAGACACTGCAAAAATAATGGAAATATTTAATAGGCAAGAACACCTTTTCTGTTTAATGGCTGTCTGAGTCTGTTTATCTCAGTGTAGTTGGTGCAAAGGAACTGTTCCCCGAGATTCCAGCTCCGAGTCCAGAGGGTAGCCAGGCAAGACGGCGATCGCGGCAGTCCAAGTTCATTGCTCCGGGTGTCGTCTGTGGCGAGTCTGTACCAGGTCTCACGTGTTGTGTAATTTTGAACATGCAAAAATACGCATCTTGATTGACGTGGACTGCTCTCCGGGATTCGCATAAAAAGCGTTTACTGAACTCTTGATTAATTGCACGTTTCCAGGCGCCACCGTCGCCATGGGCTCGAACTTGGCCGGAAAAACGGGTTGCAGTGGCAAGTGGACGTCCATTTTTGATTTATTTGACAGTTTTCCGATGCGAGGCTTTTCACACATTTCCTATTTGCATAATTTCTTTCATGGAATGTATCGTTCAAGGCATCTTTTTTAAAGAGTATTATACGAAAGTGTAAAGTTTTATAATATCTCTAAAAGTGTAGAAAGTATAATATTTTTGTGGCAGTGTAGTAAGGTCGTGGCCCTTCCTGAGATTACACTTTAACAGCGCCCCTTCGCAGCGTGGCACTTTGTGGAACCTGCGTATTTTACATATTACATTCATTACATTACTCGACATATACATCACTTTTCTTACATGAAAATGGACCATTTTTTCGCAACATTTTTAAACTTATTTAATGAAATAGTGGTATATCATGTACCAGAAAACAGCAACAATAGCAACAGCTAAAATTATTAGGAAGAGAATTTTGATATCTTTATTTGTTCGTTTGCGTTAAAAAATTAAACAATTACTAAATTTTTATAGCGAAAGCATTTATTGAAAAGCTTGCTTATTGAGAATGAAATTCTAGACTTTATCTGTATACTTTAACCACAAATTGGAGAAGTTTTCTAACCCTTTATAGCCAGTTTTCTTTAGTCCACTCCGCAATGAGGTTTATACTTATAATTTGTGTTTCCCTAATGTTTGTGGGACTCGTAAAATCTATGATATTTGTCAAAAAACTGCATGATAATAGTGAGTTTAGTGTGAAATTCTAGATATAATTTTCTAGTAAAAAATATATAAAAATCTTCTCCAGAATTCCCTGGTCAGTGCTATCCGATCCACGTCCGTGTTGGCAAAAAGAAAAAGTACGACATCTTTGCCCTCCAGCCTGGGGAGGAGGTCAACGACCCAAACACTTGCGGCACCACGGTTTGCATGAACGCCGAAGGACTCGCCTATGTATATTAGTAAGGATAATGACTACACATCCCTTATTACCTCACGATCCTTTATAAACTATCCCATAGCTGCCCTAGAACCCTTCCGAGCAGTGGCTGCCAGGACGACCATGCCATGGATACGTTGCTCAAGTTTCCGGAGTGTTGCTGGACCTGTGGGGCCAGCAGGAAGTGCACCGAGGAAGAGTCCTTTCCCTCCTATCCTTACCCACCCAATAAGAACGCGGATGTATTCCGTCAATTTTGATTAGCAGTTTATTCAGAAAAAATATAAATGCATTGCGAATGGGTTTGGTTTCCTATGTCCTCTCAACAGTACTTGCTCTTGAAGTCGAAGTCGTCCTCTGATCCGGTGGCCAGTAGCTCCTCTTTGCAGCCGTGGTGCAGACGATGCACATCCGAGTCGAAGCACTCGTCGTGGAGCCGCTTGTCCCTGCTCTTGCTGCGCTGCCGTCTGGCATGGGAACCTGATATGGAGTCATGTCTATGTCCGTGACCATGCCCGTGACCACTGTGATTGTGGATGTGGCTGTTCGATCCATGATGGTGCTCTGACGGATGGTGAGTGGGGGTCTTGTGGAGGAAGGACGGCGGACTGAGCTCTCTAGGAGGTCGGCAGTGGGCGGTGGGGGGTATGGGGTCGTCGTACCTGGGGCACGGATGATCCCCGACGGGCGAGGCGGCCTCATAACGTTTCGACAAAAGCGTGAACTCCTGATGGGCTGAGCACAGGGCCTGGAGGCGGTGTAGCAGATCGGTTTCTGGAAGATCTCTCAGGTGCAGAGTCCTTGCCACAGAGGTGCGGAAGGACTGCAGGTGGGACAGGCGCTGGTTGGCATCCGAGAGCTGCGAGCTCAGGCGGTTTACATCGTCGCGCATGGACTGCAATTCAATTTTAATAAAAATAATTATTTTTCAAGGACACGGACTGCAAACTTACATTAATCAACGCTTCATCGCGGCACCTGCGGTTCTGGTTGGACTCACAGGAGGACTTCAAGCGCTCCTTCATTGCATTAAGCTGGGACAGTAGCCGGGTCTTCTCGTCCTCCAAGTCACACATTTGGGTGGTCAGCTCGTCGATCTTGCGTGCCCTCTCTAGCGAGGTGATCTTGTACTCCACGGCCTCGGCAAGCTGGGCCTTCACCTCGGCGATTTGGGATCGGGCATCCGCTAGTTGGGCGCTTAGCTTGTCCACCTGCTTGGCAGCCTTCTTGGCGCGGCACACCGCATCATCCCGCTCGCCCTGTAGCATGCACTTTCCACGGGCACCGTCCTCGATGATGGCCAACTTTCGGCGCAGCAGCTCTAGATGGAGGTCACGTCGCTGTACCTGCTCCCTGAGAACCCGCACCCTGCGCTGAAGATTGTACACACTGCTGCTCTCCTTAAGAGGAATGTCGTGGCACGACCTCTCTCGACGCAACTTCCCCTGTCCATGGTGTGCGTGGTCACAGCAACCGCCCTTTTCCGGTGAGTGGTGATGGTGGTGGTGGTGAGCCACCTCGTGCTCGCAGTGGGCCGTCAATCGCTCGGCCCGCTCCAGCAGACTCTCGGCCATCAGATTGGTGTCCGCGCCCAAAGCAGGCGGGGCGGAGCACTCACTCCAGTTCATGGCTGTGGCCAGGCGTTGTAGGAACTCCGAAAGGCCCATGTGATCCTTTCGCAGCGTGTGAATCTCTGCATGGCACTTCTCCAGTCGCTCCGAGAGCTCACATTTTTGTGCCTCGCCGGAGCGGAGGCGACACTCGGTCGCCTGTTGAGTCTCCTTAAGCTTCTCGTGCTCCGAAGACAGCTGATCCCGGAGGGAATGCATTTGCTAGGATACAGAAATGAAACAAAATTTATAAAAAATAGCTCCATTACCCAACATCAAAACCTACCGCTTGCATAGCCTGATTCTCTCCTAGAGTTTCCCTAAGTTTCTCTTTTATGAGGGTCTCACAGGGCTCGGGAACGTTGAGCAGGTTGCTTAGTCCCCTCAAGAACTGCAGCCGATCGCCCTGGATCCTGTCCAGGTTATTCTGGAGTCTATGGCAGCGTGACTCGAAGCCCCGTAACTCCTCCTTGAGCTTCTCCCCGTTGATCTCGGACTCCGTGAGACGATCCCTCTGGATCTGGAGGTCCCGTTCGTACTGCCGACATCGTCCTTCGAGCTCGTGATTATGGTTTCCAGCCCCATCTAACTGGGCTGTCAGACGCTGCTTCTCGATGTTGGCCAAGGACTTGAGGTTGAGCAGCTCATTCTCGCAGGAGCTGAGGGTGTCGCATGTGGAGCTTACCTTGGCCTTGGCCCGCTGCAGCTCCACCATCACCTCCTCGGCCCGCGATACTATGCACTCTGGCGTGGCATGGACATTCTTTGGGCCGCCCTCGCACACATCTCCCCCCAATCCCAGGCTGATGCTCAGGCGCCGCAGAAGGTCGTGTAATTGGGCCTGAGCCTGCTCCTTGTGGGACTCTTCGGTGGCCACATGCGACTCCAGATGCTGGATCTTGCAGATGAGCTCCTTATTTCTTTCGTCGGAGCTGCGCTTCTCCCGCTGTACTGTTTGGATGGTGGAATCGCACCTGGCCTGCACCGCCTGCTCACGACTCTCCGCATTTTGGAGTCGGCTCTGGAGCGATCCGATGAGTGCCGTTTGCCTGGCTGCCTGTGAACGTAGGTTCTCGATGTCCGCATCCTTGCTGCACAAAGCCGTTCGTGTTTCCGCAAGCTGTCGGAAAAATATATATTCTATATAGAATACTACCACTATAATTTGAATAGTCACCTCTCCAGTTAACCTTTCCTTCTTGTAGGATAAAGCAGCCAGTTCACTACGCAAGGTGGTAGTTATGTCCAGCCCATGATGATGCTCGGTTACTGATATTCCCGCAGTGCCACAGGATGTATCCAACTGAAGGTAAACAATAAATTTTATTAGGTTTTCATTAGAAGTAATAGATATTCCTTAAGGGCGTGATTGAAATCCAAAGACCCTACCAAATGATGGTGATGCGGCGACAGCCCACCACTGTGTCCCAAGTGGTGGTGATGCAAATGATTGTCACTGGGCATTGTTCAGGGCAAGAACTCCAGAAACTCCACGAGACCGAACCAACCGTGCTCAGCCAGAGCCTTCGAAGGACTAAGCTTACAGCTCGGAGAAACACCTCGCCTGGGAGCACACCAAACAACCTCTGCCTAACAACTGGGAAAACAGGGGTATGGGGAAGACCAATGCATGGCACCGCGGAATTTACCCCAACATAACATCACACAATGCTACAATTTATGCTCCAAGTGAAAACGAGCTCAATGGCAGGGACAGGACAGGGACAGGGAATGGAACAGGGACTGGGAAGTTACACCATTTCAGCCACGTTTACACATTTGGAAAACTTTTCAGTTTGTTTGGATTATTTGGGTCATTCACATGGCGCCAAGTGCTGGAAATATCCGATGCAATATCCACAACCGTCTCACGCACACGCGACTGCGGATTCTTGGGGGGATGGGTTTCAGGTTCCGGGCGGGTCATGAGCTTTGTTCCTCATGGTGGAAAATGCTTGCCCTGGCCGGAAACGGAAAATGAGGTGTGCAAGTTTTGGCCAATTGTCTGCACTTTGGAGGGGGGCGATTGGGAACAGAAAATGTGCTAAGCATTCGATAAGCTTGGCCAAGTTAATTATGCAGTCGGCGGGATATGTGGGCTAACAGTACGAAGAGATAGATTGCCAATAAGTAGAAAAAAATAAAATTGTTTTAGTGCTGTGGTACCAAGATACTATTACATGTGGAATACCCCTTTGTTTCCATCAATCAGACCAACTAATTATGCACCCTTTTTAGATCCTGGTTGCAATCACAACCACTGTAACTCATCAAATTTTATGCAAATCCCCCCGGAAATAACCATTAGTTCCCCTAACAACCGCATAAATTTGAAAAACATAAAAGGCAGCGAACAAAAGTCGTTATTCAATTGCGAATTCACATAAATCTAGCCTGATATGATGTCTGGCCCCCGTTTTATACGGCAATTTGGCACACGATTCCGCCAGACTAATTTTGGACTGATGACTGCCTCCTTAGCGACGGACGAGGCCTAGTACTCACCTGGTAAGATGGAAACGTGGGCTTATGAGCTGGCGACATCGACGTACCCGGGCGGGTTTTGAAGCCGTTTTCCGGGCCGCACAACACTTCGAACACCTTCCAGTCCTCGAGGGTACTGCCATTTGTCGCGGGTCGAAGATTTGCCGGCATTCCGCAGGGATTCGCCCGAACCGCCTCTGGCTGTCGATGAAAAATTTCTATTCCTTATTTTCTAAGCGTAAATACAATCCCACCAACCAGGCAACAAACGCGGGCGAAGCTATGTTGCCACGGCGCATAAAATAACTATGCATGGCCATCCTTATAGCCACGTATTTTAGTTCCCTGGTATGGTGAGGGCGAAGGTTACCACGGGTTACTAAACTGCACATAATTCGATTTCCTAAAACTGCAATTTCCCGAAAGGGGGACCTTCCCATCTACCCCGGAATCGTTTTCCTGTAATTTCATTTGTCTCCGCCAGCAAAAATAATGAATATGGTAAATGTTTGACCTAAGTTTATGGGGCTACTCCCACGCCACCCACTCTCCACTCACTCCGATTCAATAAATGCCCCGGTTCCCTGATCCCGATCCCTTCGACAGTGACTTTGAAGGCCTGAAGAACAACCCTTTTGGGGCTAAGTTCATGCCCCAAACTGTTCGGTTGATTATTTCATTGTTTTGGTTGCCAACATAAATAAGTTTGAGGAATATTGATGAGCATTAGGAACTGGCTGCCTTCTTTTTGGTCTTCTTCGGTGGCGGTGGCTTGTAGACAGCCTCGATAGCCTTCACGGTCGCTTCCACATCCAGAACTGCCTGATTTGCCTTTGCCTTAAAAGGAATACAAGATGTATTTATGATTGAGAAGCCTGAATAGCTTGAAAGAACCCACCTGCTTTTCCTGGTGAATCTTTGCCTCCACCGCCATTAGCTCCTTCTCCTCCGCAATCCGCCGCTTGAACATTTCCTCCTGCTCCTGGTAGAACTTGAGATCGTCCTTGTACTTCTGGACGGCTATTTTGGACATCTGCACGGCAACCTCTGCGTTTTCCAGATCATTGTCGAAACGCACTGTCCACTCCTGGATCTTACGCTTGGCCATGTCGATCTCATAGCCATACATGAACTCCATGTTGTGGTGCACCATGTTGTCGACGTTCATGTTTTTGGTGAGCTCTTCCAGTTCCTTCTTCAGCGCGTTCTCACGCATTTGGAAGCGGTATAGCCGCTGATCCGTGCAGCTGTTGAGCCAGTTGACCCGGTAGCGCAGTTCGATGGGATCGTAAGCTGTGAATAATGTACTTTATTACCCAGGATCCTGGTCCTTTGAACCTAAATTGTTACCAGCAGTATTTTCAAAACGATCTAGTACGGTTGTTTCTCGGGCGTCCATAAAGTCAGTGCTGCTGGAAGTTTGCACCAACTTATGCTGATTCAGCTGATCCAGCTCCTTCTGCTTATCCTTCAGTCCTTGTATCCAAGGCGCATTTCTATGATACGTCGCGTGGCTAAAGGTGTCGTAATCGGGGGACCTAATTAAAATCCTTAGAAACCAACAAAGCCCCACTTGCTTACCGCAAAATCTGGAATACATGATTGCACAAATTCTTGTCATTGGCAAACTCATCCCGGATGTCATAGATGATATTCGCAATCTCCGCCAGATCCGTGCGGAACTTGACGCAGTCGAGGTCCTCTTTTGTCCGCTCCCGTTGGATTACGTCGAGGTAGAGCTGGTTCATATCCAGACGCGCCTCGAAATACTCCAACGACCAGTGAAATAAAAAGTACGGTATGTCCTTGATCTCGCCAGGCCAAGGACTCGTGAAGAGCCGCAGCTGCTTGAGCATTCGCACCGAAAGGAACTCAATGGCCGCCTTCTGGACTTCACGGTTCAGATTCCTTAGCAACGTGCTCCGGGGCCACATGGAGGACTTCCGTCTAAAGCTAGTGGACCGTTTGATGGACAAGCCAGTATGAAATAGGGAGGAACGAAACTTCCTCAGCACCGAAAGTATCATAGACTCGGGATTTGTATCCCCAGACACAGTGTAAACCGATTTCGGCACGGCGATTGAAGACCCCTTTTTGGTCACTGTCGTCCTGCGCCTTTGCTCTGAAACTTTACGCTCTTGTTCTTCAAGGATGCTCCTGATATATTCATCTCGGCACATGGATGGGTCTTTCTGCTCGGGCAGTGGGAACTTGATTTCTGCGAGGTCGAGGGCTTCAGAACTCCCAGTCCCCCCGCCCTCTTCCTCTTCTCCTAGATCAAGACTCTCAGATCCAGTGCCCGAGTATGCCGTTGACCGTCTTTTTTCCTCTTTTTCTTCATCCTTTCTCTTGAGGACTTCGTCATCCCTAATCTCCTTCTTCTCCACTGTAAACTTGTCTTCAGTCTTTTCCTGCTGCTTCTCAAAGGACCTTTTCTTCTTCTTTTCAGGACCTTGGTCCTTTCCCATTTTTTCGGCCGTATCCCTCTTGGTTGCCACATCCTTGTAGAACTCTTCCTGTAGCTTTGAAAAGTCCATTCTTTAATGTTTAAAAGCAAACGTTTTTTTGTTTTTCTATTTATTTATTTTTATTTTTTTTTGTATTTGTTGATCGTATAAATTTTGAAGCTTAAATCACCTTTGGGTCGAACATTTGAATTTAAAAAAAATACATTTTTTAAATGCGTCTTAATTTAATAAAAACAATAATATATATTTCACTTTTTTAGTTTAATATATTTAGTTATTTAGTAATTTAGTTATTTTTTCTACAATTAAAAATATAAAAGGATTTTTTTTAGCACCACCTTCTCAGAGATCTTTTATTCAATGAAATTACTTCAAGACTTCCGCACTGAGATCCGTGCGGACTTTGATGCACTCGAGATCTTCCTTAGTCCGCTCCTCTTGGATTACGTCGAAATAAAGGTAATGGACGTTCAGGCGTGTCTCGAAGTAGGGTCCTGCCATCAGAGGATTCAAAAAGAGACACAGCTGTTTGATGAGAATCATCGCAAGATAGTTGTTTACCTCCACCGGATTCAAGGCGGCGTCCATCGTGGCCGATCGCTCAAAGAGTGATTTCTATATATATCAATATTTTTTTTTTAAATCTGCGTTTTTTTTTTGTATTTATATTTTACATATTTGCTTAGTTCTTTGTTGCTTTAATTTTTTATATTTGCATAAATATACTCAATCATAGATTCCATAGATTCAGAGCTTTTAATTCTACTAGCTGAAAATCAATAGGTACTTCCCATTATTTTGTACGTCTTCATTCAAAACGCCGAAAAATGCAGAATTTCCATGCATAATATCAACCATCTAAATAATCCTTCTTTACTATCCACAAAGGCACCTGCTGTAAAGGTGAACATTCAAATAAGCCTCCAGTCGGTGCCGGTGCTGGAAAACGCAGAAATTCATTCACCTGGAAACTCAAAGACCCATCAGCTGTTTCCGAATTACATTCGCGTGTCGGCGCACCTGCCCCCTGCTTTGAATTTTTGAATGTGTCCATTTGGCTTATTGTTTTCATAACGTTACTGCGATTACAGCCAAGTTAGTTACTAAGTTTACACCTTTTACATAACCAAGTGATGTGATAGCCTTTAAAAGGGCATTAAAAGTGGCCAGAGTTTTCCAGTATTCGGTTGGAAAGCATTTCGATTTACCTGACTTAGTTGTACGCCGATACAGGTGCATCCACAGGTGAAAAAGGTAAATAAGACGGGGTTTTGTATGAAATGTGTACCGATTTTGATGCGGCTTGTTTAGGCGCTTTATTAGCAGTCAGCTGAACATATTTGCGAGTCTCATTTGGATTTTAATTGCCCCCTGTGCGTGTGTGCGCCTGGTGAGGTGGTGTGAGTGAGCCAGCCCAATGGAAAACCGTAGTTACGTACACCGCTGCGTATGAGCAATAAACTGCAATTGAGTCAAGGCCAACTATCGGTATTTGTTTGGGAGACTGCTCAGTTACTTACGCCCCCTAATTATCACATTTCTCCCGTCAGGTGGATGGTTATCTATTCCACTAAGGCGTTTACCCTTATTTTTTTCAAATCTTTCCACTGACAGGTGGATTTACGGCCCACCCTATATGACTCGAGCGGTTATTTGCCTTCGCCGAAGTCGTCAGTATCAGTTTTAGAAATCCAAATTGATCGCCGGCGATCCATCCGATTTATGTGCTCTTATAATTGAAGAGCCCCAAAGCGGTGGAGCGTTAATAAAAATCCATCACGACTGCCAGCAGTTGGGCAACCCCCACCGCGGCCCCCTGATAAGACCAGGGGGTCTTATAATGAAATATACATTTTAACCCACCGGTGCAGCACTCTAGTCGCAATCAAAATACAAACAGGGCTTTAAGAAATTAAACAAATAACCAAATTAACACTGCAAGTGGCGACAGAGGCTCACACAGTCACCCACACACCCACAAATCTCACGCGACCGAATCAAACAACACATACAGTAAACAGTCGCTAAGACATTCTTTCAAAAGCTTCTCCGTCGCCCTGAAATTGAACTGGTAATAAGATCTGCTGCCATTTATTGACTAAGGTTAAAGAACCCCGCTCCAATTTACTTCAAAAGGGCTTCACTGTACCTTAACGCGCACACACTGGCGAATAAGATATGGCGAAGACGTCGACGAACTCGTTTCAATTGAGACTCTGAGCTGAAACACAATTCATTCCGCTGGAGAACGCGCAACCGAAAACATTTTACCCGTCGCCTCAAATTCGCCTTCTAATTAAGTTTTGTTTACATTCGGGTTTTTGGATTTCGGCCTTTTTGCGTCTCCGATAGAGCCCCCAAAAATGGAGCAGTGGAACAATGTGGAGCTGACGAACATGTCCAAAAAGTCATACACCCTGAATCATGCCTACGACGGAGCCGAGAAGCTAAACAAGGAGAACGACCAGGCATCCTCCAATGGCAACGACACAACTTCAGACCCACAGCCCGGCGACAGGGATCTCCTGCAGCCAGGATCGGATGTCCGTCCGAAGGTGGAGTCCGACGACGTAGAGAGCCTGCTGCGACGACTGTACGGGATCACAATCAGCGAAGTGAAGGAAATCATCGCCTACGACGACCGAAACTTCTTCGTCAAGGAGGATAGGTAAGCTTTACCAGGGATTATTCCATTGACCCTTATTTTGAATTATTCACATCACATCCGGAGAATTATCTTCATGGCAAGAGAAAAACATATACGCCTCCTCCACTGCACTTTTTGTTTGAATATGTCAGACTTGCAGCATCTCAAAAGCAAATGATAAGTGCTTTCGCAAGAAAAATGTGGCATCTATTTATACCCTGTTTAATTAAAGTTGTTAGTTGGCGCAGCTATGTGTGACGCAGTTCCCCGCTCTGAGTTCACCTTGACGGCAGCTATCAAGATAACTTGATAGGTTCATGGAAGATTGTTCATCAGTTCGGTTCTTCAATTTAATAAATTAGATTACGCTAATAAACAAAAAGGTTACAGTCTGTGAATAGGAAACTATTTGAGCGCGGCGCGCCTCTGGAATCCGAACATGCTTAACTTAGTTTGATTCTGGCTCACAGTGCCCAGTTTGCTGGTCGTTTTCTTGGGGGTCTTGGGAGTTCCTTTTTTGGCAGTGGAAGTTTGTCTACTCAGTCCGATTCTTTTCTTTCCAGCAGACGGTAAAGAGTTGTGCCGCTGAATATTGGCGCTGGAGGAGGAGGAATTGGTCGATGCTGCCGGGGTCAGGTTGGAACTGCAGCTGTCGTCGGAGAGTAGAATAATGGTCTCACTTTCGTGGCTCTCGGAATCGGTGGAGGCTTTTCGCTGGTCAATTAGCAAGTCCAGGGATTTGATGCGTATTTTTCCTTCATCCTTGTCTGGAATGCTTTCGGGGGCGGGTGATTCTGAAGTTGTTTCTTCGCACTCCAATAAGGCCGGTTCTGAGTCGGCCTCACTCACATGCGAGTTTCTGCTTGGAGGTCTTGCCTCATCCAATACTATACATTCTTGCTTTTGCAACCTTAACCTTTTTTGGCTAATGTGGGAATCCAGTTCCTGAGTCGGTTGCTCCTCTGACTGCTTTGTCTGTTGGGTACCAAAAAATCGACTACGCACCTCTACCACCTGCTCCTTGGCAAAGATGCTTCTTTTGAGGGAATTGACCCTCGTTTCGTCTGCTCCACCATGTAAAGGACTCACCTTGTTTGGACTTAACAAACGCAACAAAGACCCGTTCTCACACACTGCGGGGGACTTCTGATGGGCATCTGACCCCGATCGGTCCTTGGCAAAGGGATTATGGCGACTTTTGTGTAATGGCGACTGCGGGGGAGTTCGCTGAGTATTTATAGACTCTTCCCGACTGGGACTCCTTCTCCTCTTTCCTCGGAAATTGTACATAGTAAAGACCTGAGCCTCGGTCTGCTTTGCCTCCTCCAAACGTTGATTAGCCTCAATATCCTCGTCAATAGTCTTGCTAACAAAATCCACTTTCTTGAAAAACAAGGCACAGGACGTCTGCTTCTTTTCGACCTTGAGGTTCTCCTTAAGAAACTCTCCTTGCCAAATACTCTTGTGTTTCGTCCGTTTTACGTTCTTTGGAGTTGGCACGGGCTTCTCCGGTGTCCAGCTATCAAGGCGCTTTAGAGAAAAGGGATTTATGTTCCCCAGAGCGAGGTGCAAGGCCTGATCTGTGTCTTCCATCAAGGTTCCAGCATTGCTGCAGTAGCGCACGTCCGTTTCAAAGTCCTCCAAGGCACATAGCCGTTCCATGCGGCGTTCGAGGGGATTGTAGATGTACATGTGTTTGAAGGTGGCTTCTGCTTTCAAGAAGTTTTCAATGTATTCGTCGTCTACCTGTTGCAAAATGGGAAAAATAACACCTTAGTCACTGTGATTTATAGGCGGCTTAACGTGATGGATTACGCAGTGTTTGAGGATTGACTCACCTCCAAATTTCGCATGTTGAGGGTGCTGGGTATCTTTTTTAGAGCAATTTGCATATCGTCCTGCTCCGTTTTGAGAATAAATTTGCAGGCTTTGGCCAAGCCGATTCCTGGCAAGGAATCCAGATAATCGCACCCAGACAAGATGCACATGCGACGGAACTTATCGAAGTGGTAATTCTCCTCCCGGCAGCCCATGGCCAAGTGGAGTTTTTGCGCTTCCACCAGTAGACCGTTGCCATTGAGGTCCAGCTTGAAAATGATCTTCTTGGCGCCAAAAAGCGTCAGATCCGAGTCCTCAGTGATGATGAACTCGGCAATGTCCGCCTTGTTCAGCCAGGCCATTTGGGCGTCCGCCTCGTAGGGAGCCACGATGCAGTCAACGTTCCGCATCCGGCACTCCTTTATAAGGCGCAGGGCCATATCGTGGGTAACGTCCACGCATCGCCGCATGTGAGACCGTGCCTCCTCGATGCGCCCGCGACGCAGTAGCTCCGCAGCTCGTTCTTTGCTCTGCTGCCGGGACTCCCGCCGCCGCTTTTCTGTCAGGGCTTTCGCTGGCAGGTGCTGGCCATCAAAGACCAGTATTGGCTTAATGTCGTACGACAGCAGCATCTGAACGTACTTCAGGCAGTACTGGATGTAGACATCCGTGTCCTCGCCTCTGGCTAACTTCTCCGCGCAGCCAAAAACTCCCTTGTGCAGCCAGCAGTATGTGTCCACGGCCACTGTGGTGCCCCGAATGTCTTTCAGCTGTAGCTTGGAGGACGCCTTCTCCACGAAGGGGATCAAGCCCGTGATGCCCATGGTTGGGTACAATTACAAAACATAAATAAGACGGTCAATCAATAAAGTCGCCACTTTTTACCGCCAAATTTCCGCAACAAACACAGTGTGACCGGAGTGCTGCAGAGAAGACTTCCCAATTTCCCATGACTTGGTCACACCTTTATGGTTAAAAGTACAACTTAAAATTAATTTTGAATTTATTTATTGGGACAATTATAAGAAAAAACTAACTAGAATAACCCATGCAATGAATTAATTATTAAAACCTTCTTTCAGCAATGTAAAAAATCCACTGATAGTAACGCACTGCCAAAATGGCTACGTTTTGAAGATCCTTAACTCCTTGGACTCCAAAAAGGAGAACTTTGTGGATGCACAGAATCAACTGCTGCTGTTTTTGGGTAAATATTATTTATCTTATATAAAAGACTAAGGAAATCACTTTTACTGTTCCAGGAAAACACAGTGTCAAGTGCCCTAGGCCGATTCCAAATGCCAGTGGAAAGTATTATTCTGTGGAGCGGCTCAACGGAAACTCAAACGTTGTGCGCCTTCTCGAGTTTATTCCCGGGGAGATCTTCCACCAGGTACCGGCGACGAAGCACCTACTCTTCCGCAGCGGGGAGTACTTGGCTAGGTTGGACCGGGCTCTGAAGAATTTCACCCACGAGGCCTACGAAACCCACAAAACGCTATGGATGCTGCAGAGCGTCCCGGAACTAAGGCAATTCCTGTATGTGGTGAAGGATCAGGAGCGCCGATTGATATGCGAAGAGGTCATCGATCTGTTTGAGTCAAAGATATTGAGTTTGCTTCCCACCCTTGAGCACCAGATCATTCATGGCGACTATAACGAGCAGAATATAATTGTAGAGAAGGCGGCAAACCAAAGTGATTACCACGTTACAGGGGTGATCGATTTCGGAGACACAAGCAAATCTCCGTTGCTCTTCGAGGTTGGAATTGCCCTCACCTATATGATGCTGCAGGCCAACGACCTGGCCACCGGTGGAGTCTTTCTCGCAGGCTACAACAGTATAAACCCCATAAGCAGCTCGGACTTGGGACACCTTAAATACTGCGTGGCGGCCCGCCTGGTTCAGAGTCTGGTGATGGGTCTCTACACCCACACCCTGCATCCCACCAATGACTATCTGTTGGTCACCCAGGAACAAGGATGGACCCTGCTGCAGACGCTCTGGCGCGACAGCCTGACGGAAGTGGATGAACTGTGGGCCACCACAGGACATCAGTACTTGACGCAAAGCAATAAGTAGATTTTAAAGTGTGTACACGAAATTTTGATAAATGTTTTAAAAATCACAAGGTATCCCGGCAGAGGGCTGCAAGACAGATTCTGTAACCAATTGTCAATTATTAGAATTTCACCAACATATCACCTTTGCACCAAAAATGTGCAGGTCAAAGTATTGATTGCATTTTTTGCTTTAAATATTACTTTATCCAGTATATTATTATCATATTCTTTACAATAAAACTTGTTAAACAAATACAAATACATTCTATGTAGTACAGTTTTGCTTAGAGTAGGTGTATCGTATTAATTCATTTTCTTATGGGCTCTACTGTGGTGGCAATTAATTTCGAATTGATACTCAGTTGAATCTTCATTAAATTGAACTAATTATGCTAATTACATTGATGGTGTAAAAAAGCCGATGGGCGAAGGATCTTTCGTCCTGGCAAATATACAATGAATGTACATCTTCGCGGTCCGATATTGCGGCTAAATATGGTCACAGGTCTACTTACGACTAAAGTTACACATAGAAGTCGCTTAACACCTACAGAAATTTACAAAGGCCCACTTGGGTGCGATCTGTGAGGGAGTGCTCAGTGCTCCATCTTATCAGCGAGCCAGAAGTTCAAACAGAAGACGTGCTGAGCTAAATATTTATACGTAAAACATGTTTTACGGCTTTGAAATCAAGTTTATTTATTTTTTATATCATGTGTTTGTGTTTTATCGACTTTTGGGTTTTTGGTACAAAATGAAACAAGTAAAGAAAGTTAATAAAATTAAACAATACATAAGCCTAAAACCGATGACTCTATGCAGAACCAAACAACTCACACACAATTTATACACAATCAAACCATGGAAAAAAAAATGATCAGAGATATACCTGAGTAACTCTTTGCAACACACTCCCTGGTCTGCCCTAGAGATCATCGTCTTCCATAACATAGGGTATAAATAGAAAAAAAAATTGCAGTACGATCTAGTAAAAAAAAAGGTTGTAAATTTTGAAAGTCTCAGATTTTCTTTTTGGCCAAAAAAAAAACAGCCCATAGAACTTGTATCCTCTTCGTATGTGATAAAGCTGAGATGTGTTATCTGAACTTAGCGACTTGTTAGTACTAGGTAGAGAATAGATCGTTTGTGAGACTACGTACACGCTAGAAGGAAACTCTTTAGAATTTCAACGGATTGCAAGCTGGTAACTTAGTCTAAAGATTTCCAGACAAGACGATAAAGGATTTGAATTACATAAAAAATAACACCTAGGAAGTTTCATAAAAAAAATAAAAAGTTTTAAAATATTTAATTTACACAATTGAATAACAGATATTCCAGTTGTCGAATAAAATAACTCGAAATAATTACTAAACTGAATAAATGACAATTGCGGCGCTCTATGTACAATAAAAATCGTCTGGTCTGGATTACAGGACTTTAGGATTGGTTACTTTTAACTTGTATCTTACAAAATAACTAAGCAAAACACATGCTTAAGTGAGAACTAAAGTAAAAGAAGTAATAGACAATAATCAGCATGGTCTCCGTCTCAGCTCCCGTAGCTTTTCCCCCTGGAAATGGATTTGACTATCGATCCTGGCTAACGTCGTCTCTGGCGCTTGCGCCTCTTAAGGTAGACATATGAGGAGTTCATCTCCTGGTGCCTGGCCTCCTTTGGATTGGTAGGTAGTTTTTTGCTTGCCAAAGTGGCTACAGGAACTGCCAGCGCCTTGGCCTTGCCAATGGAGGTCTGAGCTTGAACCGCATCCAGCCAGGGTAAGCTAAAGTCGTCACGCGCCTCTACGTTAACCATGTTTTCACCGAAGGCCTGGACCGGCACTTCGGAGACAAACTGTATTGCCTCGATATCCTCGGGAAGGGGATAAAATGTGGACGTAGGCAGCGGATCCAGAGTTACCAGAACCTCGTCCTGGTTTCGTCGACTCCGAAGTGCCTCGCTTCTTATCAAATCCCTAAGACACCGTGCATCACGTCGCTTCCTTTCAATTTCATCCTTAACACACTTTTCATGTCGCCGAATGAAATCCGCATCGCTCAAAGGTTCAATACCCTTCTTATCAGAGCTGGGTGGTACGGGATCATCGCGCCACTTGGGGATTTCTAAGCTGGGATTGTCCGCCAGCAGTTCGTCTGCCTCCTCCAGGAAGAACTCGTTATCGCAATGGAACTCTTGATCCTCCCACGATCGTGTCGTGTACGGATATGTGGCAGTGCGATATAGGGACTTGGACTTCTTCGATCTCGTTGGAGCTTTACTGTAAGTGTGTGGTGCACAATTGTTTACGACTTTTGTTGGCCTGGTGATGGAACTACTACTGCTGCTGCTTACACTACTCATCGATTGTGGAGTCAGTGGCAGGGATATCTTATCTTGCTTTGATCTCGTACTGCTCCTTGAACTTTCTTGCGAGGAAGCGGGAGTAGGGTGGGGCGTGGAAACTGGCGTAGAGGAGGGCGTCGTAGTTGGCGTAGTCGCGGGAGTTACAGTAGTCGCTGAACCAGCTGCTGATGTGGGTCCAATGGGTGGATAAATCAGATGAGTGGTTGGACTCTCTTTGCTGGGCTTTTTCAGAAGCACTTGCGGCTGCTGGCTCTGGCGACGCTGTTCTTTCTGAAGGTGTTCTTGAAGCTTTCGACGCATTCGTTCTTCCAGAGTTTCATCATCCTCAGGTTCCGACTTGGGCATCGGGGAGCTGTCAAGATCACGCAAATTCTTTACCGTGGAATTGACATTTATCTCGGGCTCCTTCTCCTTTTTCTGATCTCGTGTTGAAGTGGATGAAGCGGTTGAACTTATTTTCTTGTCATTGAACATGTCGTGCTGTCGAATTTTCACCTGCAAGCGTTGCTTTTTCACTGGTTCAGCTTTTGCAGCTTTATTGGTTTGGTGATTGGCCAAAGATTTAGCTGGAGAAGCACTCTGTTGCACAGAGGCTCCAATGACCTTGGGTGTGGGCGACACGGCAACCGAGTTTGCCTTGGGCAGGTTTGTTTCACTAGAAGGTGGATTAGAATGGATCTCCGCCTTGGGTGCTATGGCCTTCGGCAAATCCTTGGGGGTTACGGTATCCTTTTTCTGTTCCTTGCTCAAGTCCATTTTCTCTTCAATGCTCTGAGGTCCATGCTGGGATTTTTGATCTTTGGATACCCGCGATTGAGTCAGTTTCTCATCCCGATTTTGATATTCAGGCGTGGACATCGGAATAATGTGCTTCTCTGTCTCAGATGTCTCCAAAACGTGCCCTTCATCATTGGGTATCTTTCGAATCAAGTCTCCATCCTTAGATGAATCCCGCATCGCCATTTTATCTCTTGTCCCTCCAGGTTGTTTCCCATCCGAGGATATATCCCTGATTTTCTTTTCAACTTTCAGGGGACTCCGATGCTGTTTTTCATCCGTGGATATCTCCCGGATTTTCTTTTCATCTTTTAATGGACTCCGATACTGTTTTTCATCCGTGGATATCTGCCGTATTTTCTTTTCATCTTTTAATGGACTCTGTTTGTCCTCTGCAATTGTCTTTGCATGCTCCTTTCCATCCTTATGTATATTGCTATCGTTCTTTTCAACCTTAGATGTCACATGCTCGCGCAGTTGAAGATGTCTACTAATCGACACCATTTTCTCGGAGTGAACTTCGATTTCCATAGTGGTTTGATTATCAATGACAACTTCTTCCGTCACAACCTCGATCGAATCCACCTCCATTTGTTCAACAACTCCTTCCTGATCGACTTGTTCTTCCTCCTCCTGATCTGGACACCTATCCGATCCCGTACTTCTTTCGAGCTCTTCCTCCGCCAATGCCGGCTGATGATTAGGTGTGGAATGACCGGACGGTGCTATCGTCTTTTCTTCCGCCTCTTCCACATCCATAGAATTCATCTAAAAAAAAATTTACTTCATTTAAATGATTCTCCTATAGAATAAACCAAAGTAGCTTACCTGATTGTTCCAGAAATCGTCTAAATTATTTTCCAATTGCGGTTCCTCCTCCTCCTCTGTCTCATCAGAATCATCTGTATCACCATCTTCGTTATCTTCACCGTCGTCCTCCTCGTCCGAAGAGTCCTCGTCGGAATCATCCTCATTCTCCTCATCCATATGGCCGTTGGCATCTGTAATGATTTCTTCCTCCACACCCACAATGGTCTCCGTTGCCACTTCGATTTCGTTGGGCTCCAAAGCATCGTAGATTATATCATCTTGTGAGATCACTTCGTGATCCTGGTGCAGCTGTTCTTCCACAAGCTTCTGCTGCTCCTCTTCCTCCTCCAGCTGTAATCGGATGTCTTCCAACTTTTGCTGTAGCGTTTCCTCCTCCTCTTTGGGATCATTTTCCTCCTGAATTCGATGCTCGGCAGACGTCAAACTGGAGTCTTGATTCACACGATTCAGGATCATGGTGCTAACTTTCTTGCCATTAAATTCTCCTCGAACTTTGCTTTCCAATGGTCTGGCCGCTGTCGCAATGGAAGGAGCCTTGGGGCCCGGTTTTACGTGGGAAAGCCGCTCTTCGTGTAGCTGCTCCTTTTGCATCTGCATCCTGGGTTGAATCTTCGCCTGTGATAGATGCGCGGGGAATGGTTCAACAGGATGTATCCTATTGTAGACCTCCTGCACCTCAGTTTGAGTTCCCGCATTGCAGAGAATCTGCTGGCGCTGTGATGCAGTTGGGGGCAGTGAGTGATCATCATCATCGTCGTCGTCATGCGGCCGCTTGTTCTTTCTCCGAAGCTGTCTACGCAAATCTTCGACTGTTGCCTCCAACTTGGCATTAGCCAGTTTTAGTTCCTGATTCTGTGAAAGAATGACTGCCAGCTTGGCGTTCTGGTCATCTATCTCCTTATCTTTGGCCGCCAAGCCGTCTGTGTGCTCCTGCATCAGGTTCAGGTGAAGGACAATCATCCGCTTGAGGTTATTGTTCTCCACAATCAAGGTGACTACATCGGAGCTTGTATTTCCGCCCGACGACGGCGGCGCCATAGCCCCCCCGCCCAAGTTTCTGGCCTGAACATGCTGTGGCGGAGGCGGCTTATAGTAGCTATTGGGTCCCACGGCGGAGGCACCCTTTTGATAGCTGTGACCATGTTGCAGGTTGCGCCAGCTTGTTTTGTTTGGATGCGGATGCAAGTGCGGATGAGAGTGTGGATGGGAGTGTGGATGCCCGTGTGGATGAGAGTGTTTTTGGTAGCCACGCGACGCATTATGGTGGTAGGGTGGATCCGAGTAGTTGGCCTTCTGGTTTAGCGGCCTCTTAAATCGCTTGTCCATTGCTGTCGGAGTTGGTAGATTCAGGAGAATCAACAGAATCCGGCCAGGGATTCTATAATCTCATAGTTTATGAGCGCTTTGTTTTGTTTGCGCGCCTTGTCTTTACGTGTTTCTTCTTCAGCTGATACGGCGTACAATGCGTAGAACACGATTTCCACCACACTTGGCAATTTTTTCTCGCCCCTAAATGTGCATGGCTTTTTCTGGAAATTAGGCAATTCAGATTGATGTACGTGTAGTTGATATTGCACGTGGTAATCACATAAAGCCCCCGCGATGGCGATTCGTTTTTAAAGCCGCGAATGCACGTTCTTTCCGCGTTTTCTTCAAATTTATCTGCAAATTGTAAACTCGCCCGAAAAATGCTCCTAGAAGTATGGCGTTTACCTGGCGTTGCCAGTTCGTCTTCGCAGGGCTGTATTTCGTGCTAGTGATGAGCCTGTGTCGTGAGCTGCAAAAGTCTTAGCTAAATATATAATAGAAAATATTTTTGACCAAATTCCTTAAGAACTTTTTATAATTTCTTGGTAAATATTTTCCTAATTCTTTTTTTTTTTAAAAACTTTCAAGTATGTAATTATTTTTGTTTCGTGTTTTTTTATCCTTCGTGACTCGAGTAATAGTCACATAATATGCTCATCTCTGGAATAGACTGCCACAAATGCATGGGCCGGGTTTTTCTATATTTTATTAAAGAAAATGTCGCCTATAACTACTTTTTATGTTCCAAGAATTTGTTGCAATTATCCAATCAATTCTTATGTAATAGCAGAAGAGCAAGAACAAATAGATTTTACACTCATTCTAGTTGGCAGCACTGTATCATGTATACGTCTCCTGTGAATGCCGTCTAAATAGAAGAAGAAAATGGCGGGAAAATTTTGTTGTATATAGAGAAAATAGGAAATTCCAGTGGTGCCGATGGCTTCTCTTTTTGGCGACGACGGGGTGGATGACCTATTTAACGACAATGTTCCCGTGGATCCAGACCAATTGCCGAGCGACAACGAGGGGGAAAAATTGTTCGCAGATGACGACGAGATCAAGGAGAGCGGAGAACCCGGGAGCCAGGACGCAGAGAAAGTAGAGCCCAAGAAGCGTGCGGTTCGGAATCCTCGTCCTCGCTTAACAGTTGATACGTTGCGTGGCCCAAGGGGAATCCAGACTATAGAGGCGTACTTTAAGGACATCAAGTTTAAAGGAAAGGGCTACGAGAAGAGCGATCTGGATGAGGTGCTCCGTCGGCTGCAGCACTGGGGTCACAGGATGTACCCCACCTACACTTTTGACGATGTCTTGAATAATATTGAGCGGTTAGGAAAAAAGAAGCCGCTTCAAGTACACATGACACGCTACCGTCTGGGTCAACTGGAAGATTTCCCGTCTCACGATCCGAATGCGTTGGAGGAGGGTCAGGACGATCAGCAGGATGACCCTGAGGATGAACCCTTTGACGAGTTCGATGCTCTTCTGGGCGAACAGATAGCTATTTCCAAATTAGCACCAAGAACGCCCCACCAGAGGAGCATGACGACTGCCTCCGCTGGTAGCAGCACATTGGTCACCCCATCGTTTTCCCGAGGAAATGCTGTAATGTCGACGCCATATTCCACGGTGAACGCCCCTGCTTTCGATAAAAATGGAGCTCCAATACGTGCCTCTTATGATCGGAATGGAGCTCCATTGGACATGAGCGATTACGGGCAACCACTGCCGCCATCTCAGCCACCAACTCCGGCAGCTAAGAAACTCTCCTCGGATCAGATGGCGCGCATTGCCGAGAACCGGAGATTGGCGCAGGAGAGACTCAAAGCCAAGCAGGCTCAGCAGCAAGAGACACCCAGCTAACATCTATGAATCTCTGGTGTTTCGGCAAGTAGAAATTAATAATTCAAAAGTATGTTATTCCCTATTTAAGTTCAGAATAAAACTGTTCTATGTATTTTCTATTGAAAATTACCCAAAGTTATTTTTTGGTGCTTAAAGTCGATATTAAAGATCCTCCTTTCGATTGTAAATCCTTTATTTTATCGTCGTTTGCTGACGGAAATAATTTATAATTTTTTAAGCAACTATATGGTATGCGAGAGTATTTACAAGAATCAGGTTATGATTTGAGATGGGTTTCGGCGCGGAAAATACTTTACAAAGTCTTTATAACCTAAGCGGGATAGGATACTATTAAGGTACTGGCGTGCAAAAACGGGGTACTTTTGAGTGACCCCCTTAAGAAGTAAATCTCAGTGCGACTCTTGGCAGCGTCTCGAACAAACCCTGGGCTCCTTTTAGTAGAACGGCTACGATTTTCGTAATGATTACTTCCTGTATCGGACTAGCCTGCGACTGTCCGTCCTGATCCTTGGGCTCCGATCTCTCCCTCACAGCATCGCGGATAACGTGCAACAGCCTCTGATAAAGGAAGGATTGTCTGTAGATCGGTTTCGATAGGCTTAAGTGGTCGTCCTTCAGCAGATAGAAGTCCCCGAAATCTATCCTAGAGGATTCCTCCGTAACGATGCGTAGTGGGAATTTGAAGGTGGTTAGCATTGTAGGCGATCCTTCGGCTACGCTCACAACCTTTACGTGTTTCAGGAAAGTGTGCAGGCACCCCATAAAGCGGCGGTGCATTTCGAGCAGCTTCGGTGAGTTCTCCTCCATCTCCTTTACTTCAATAGAGGGCGAGAGGATCATCTGCATGTGCTGCTTCCACTTGGCAATCGGTGAGCCCCTGTGCGGCGTACCGAGAAATACGATTCCCTTTGTGTTCTTGGCTAGCTGTTGCGCCTTTTCGTCCTGAGAGTCCAACGATTTCAGCAGAATCAGTTTTGTGAGTAGGCCGCCCATGGAATGTCCTATCCAGACGATGGGACGCTGATTACCCACATCTGCGGCAGCGATGCGTTCCATTAATGTCCCGGCTCGTACATCAATGTGCCCCTGGCCCTTCTCACACGGGCAGTACTTTGTAAAGTTGGCCGACCACTCGGTGACAGCTGAAGTATAATCTATTCCTATGATTCTCGAATCTGGGTAATCGTCCGGAAGCCACTCCATCGGCCAACAGTTCGTGTACTCCTCACTGGTATCCTGATTACGCCACTCGTTCCCGGACACACTGAACTTTCCAATGCAATTCTCGTTCGCTGTCAGTGGAATATCGGGATGAACTACTTCCCAGTCCGAATCCAGTTCAGCCTCGTTTCGAAGTGTCTCTACAAACTCCATAGTAGCCGTATCGCTTATGCTCAGGCGTTGCTCCTCCACCTTCTTGCTGGTTTTTAAAACTTGATCTGAAGACAAGGAAATAAAACGTAGGTAAGTAAAAGGGTATGACTTTGTAATTATTGAAGATAATTACCTTTAATTGTTTCAGTCTTGGACGTGCCATTGCTAGTTTTCGACACCTCGGTGGCTTGGCTTGGAACCAGCTTGCCCTGCTCCTTTCGATGCTTGCTTCCGTTGCCACGCTTCTGCTCACCCACTAGGAAAACATCGTCCGTTTCGCTGGTGTAGAAAGCATTCTTCCCGTAAAGCCCCAGCTCCGTCGGCTTCCTATCTCGCTGGCGCCATGTAATAAAAACGCCACCCAACAGTCCGTGGACGAAAACAATGTCTGCCTTGGGCTTCCTGCGAGTGCGTACTCTCGGATGCAACGGATAAACATTCGGCGGATATGTGCACTGGTTGGGATCGTCGTGGTCCAAGTTTGCCATCGTCTTTGCTGAAATCACTTGTAGTCGAAGATCTGGGCATTGCTGCCATTCGGCCAAGGCACCAACCCATCCAGAGGAGAAGAAATGCTCCACAGCATCGGGCACCACCGACATATTGGCCAGCACCTTACACAAAGTGGATAAAGTCTCGTTATCATCGCTAAATATTTTTCGCAGTTCCATAAGGTGTACGAGGCCACCGTCTTTAATAATATTGGCGGAAACCTGGGGATCCTTGCTAATGTGATGTAGGAATGAGATGATTTCCTTAAGGAGGTCTGTGTCAGCTGAAGAAAGCACTATAGTCTGTTCCTGGGTCAAGTATTCGTGGATGTCCTCCTAATAGGTAAATATATGAGCGTTAGGGATTTTTTTATTTTATTTTAATAATTTAAAATATTTGCTTACGATCGGATCCTGTTCGGGGAAGTATTTGCTGAAGAAATGGTCTACGCAGGACATGGGGCGCAGTCGGGCCAGCATCACATGCAGCTCAGAGAGGAGCAGTTTGGGGTTCTTGATGCATCCGCGTCGGTGGACGGGCATGAACCAGCGGGTGTCCGCTCCGCAGCGTGCTAAGGAAACGGCCGTACGGGCATCACAGATTTGCGCCAGGTGTCGGAAGTCCCAATCCTTGAGGTGATCCATGCAGATAAGCTGTTGAACCGCTTTGAGCCGCTCCGGTTGACTGCCATTTTGGGCGATGTTGAGCAGCCGCCAGGCCACCGAGTGCTTGGCTGCCTTCCACCACTTTCCGATCGGATTGATGATAACGCTGATCCACTTCTTGTCGTCCTCCTGCTTCTGCTTCAGCTTGCGCATGGACTCACGGTAGATGTGGTATTTTATGTAGATGTACTCGGCGCGTCGCTTGTCCGGCTCCGGGGATTTCTTGTCCACATACTGAGCAAGGAAGCGGCGAACCTGTGGCGCCTCGTAAAGCAAGAATCCAGCACTGCAAAGAAGTTGGAAAATAAATTTAAACTTTTTCGAAAAATTATTGTAAACTAATGATTCTTCGGCTAACCGTTCCGGCTCTCGGGGATTACCTATTACCCTATTATTTTGACTTTTCCCCTTATTAATCGACCTTAGTGGAAACAACAACTATAGCTGCCAAGTATTTTGTTATTGAGATAAACGTGAGGTAAACAAAAACAACAACAAAAACAAATGGCGATTGGTTTATTTAAGAAGAGGGCACGTCAGCCCCAAAAGATCCACACACGCGCCAATGTGTTACAATTCCCCAACAAACAACAACCCATATAAACCAGAAAAACAAGAACTAAATCACCTCCGATAAGGAGAGAACTATTCGAAATTCGCTGGGGGCTCGAAGGAATTAAAAACTGCGCACTATGGCGCCACTATTTGCCTACATATGGTATATCGGTGTATGTGTGCGAGTGGGGGGGCCTTGAACAGCTGTTAACGCACTAGTTTTGCTTTGCTGAATGAGAAGAAGCGGAAGAGTAAGCGAACCGTTAAAAGCAAAAACAACTCCTCCCAGCTTGCTATCTCACTTTTACAAAATCGTACGTTTTGTTTTGATCGTGTTTTCAAGAGACCATAAAAGGAGTTGGCATTATTGGTAAATATTTTAATACTCTTTCAAATAAAAATTGATAAAAAATCATGCTTATTTTCAACCAATTTTAATTGAATTATTTTTGCAGTAAGATTTTTGCCTTATCAGAACAAACTACTTTCCCTTAGGCGCACTTACAGTCTGATTCATTAGTTTGATGTAAACAAATGACGTCACAGGTGTGACAACGCCTGTAAGACCACTAGGAATGCGGAAAACAAGATCTGATGTTTTTGTTGTCAGTTTTCTCTATAATTATACTAAGTAGCGATCGCGATCGTACGATATATAGAGGGCCGTGTGGCGCCATTAAATAAAAATAGTAAAACGTGTGGGGACGAGCCCCCAAAACCTTGGTAGCCCATGTAAAAGGTGTAAGTGTGTCAAATGACGGAATTTTCAAGTTCTTTTTTTCGCTGTGTGGGACCTGTGGCAGGTGCTCCAGTTGGGGAGGCGTATGGGGGTTGATTTGTTTTGGCCACATCAGTTAAATGTTAAAAGTGGTCTGATTACTTACGCAGTCAGCAGGCCAATCCCGCCCAAAATCTTCGGATGACGGCGCAACTTGGTCTTGAGATCCTCCAATGACATCGCCTGTTTCTATATACTATATATTTTTTGTTGTTCAATCGACTGCCAAAAGTTTTCTCAGTTTTATCTCGCACGTTAAATTTAGACAATTGTATCACACTTCACTGTCCCTTGGAAATTGTATTACTGGGACGTTTCCCTTGTCACTTGAAAGTGTTCGTAGAGCTTGTTTTGCTTTGTTGTTTGTTTTGGTTTGATTATCGAGCTGATATTGCTGGCAAACCAGTCTCTCGGCCCCCTTTTATTATTGTGGCTCTCTCAGTGTGACCGTTAATCGAGGGCTGGAATATACCGCTGGCTAGGGGGCCATTCAACCCGAAGCGGTCACAAATCAGCTGATTGATAAGGCTTGGGGGGTGATAAAGTCCAGAGGCGGAGTTGTGCAAGATATTATTAAATTATATTTTTCGTCGAAAGTACTCTCTTCTATAAAAATATTTATAGAAATAAACGGAAAAATTAAGATAATATATTTTTAAATTTTTTATTTGTGAAACCCTTTTTCTGTGCCTCTGCTTTAATCGGTTGCTTTCGATAGCTGAAACACCCCCAAACCAAAACCAAGCCCAGGTACCCGTCTCCAATGCTTCTCGAGGCTTGTTTGATAAGCTGTTTGTTTAGCAACGATTAGTTACCAGTTTTAATTAAAATAGCCCCACCAACTAATTTGTATAATGTCCTAGTTTTCGCTTTGCATAGCCGCGTTAATTGATTGTTTGAACTTTTGGTTCTTGACCGGTTCGGATTGGATTGGACATTTCATGGATTTGCTTGAGCTCTCACCTATCGACTGAATCAGCCCAACGTCGGACAAAAATAGCCACATTTGTGGGTGGCCAGGTGGGTGGTGCTTGGAGCTGGGTGCCCCTGCTCTCCCGAAAAACTTGGAGGGAAAACATTAGACCCGCCAACGACGAAAAAGCAATAAACAAGGCTCTGACAAGATGAAAATCCATTTTCGAGAGCAATACGGCACCAAGGGTGAGGAAATCCTTTATGTGACACCAGCAGGTAAGCAAATCGATTAAATAAAACTGTATCTCTGCAGCAGATATGACTTAAAATTGTAAAGTTTAATGTCTGCAAGGATATAAAGCCTTAAAATTGAATAACTTTACGCAATTATCTTCTTACAGACCAAACCAACATCGTGAGAGTTCCGTTGCGTGGCGAAAAGTTAGTCATCCAGGAGAAGTTCCTGCTCTTTCGCGTTCTCCAAAAGATCTTCCTCCCTAAAGGTTACCCGGATAGCGTGAGCGATGACTATGCCGCCTACCAGATCTGGGACACGGCTCAGGCGTTCTGCAGCACGATCTGCGGCACCTTGTGCACCCACGCAATTCTGAAAGGCATTGGAGTGGGCAGTGAGAACATTAATGCCTATTCGGCCACGGTCACTTGGATTTTAAAGGAAGGTAGCGGACACGTAGGGCGAATATTCTTTGCCTGGTGGCAGGGCTGCCAGCTGGACGTCGACTCGAAAAAGTGGCGCCTAAGAGCGGATTTTCTTAATGACCTAGCCATGGGCATCGAAATCTATGTGCTTCCCAAGTACCCCCACTTAAGTACCCAAATCCTATGCGGTTCTACGCTGCTCAAGGCGATTGTCGGTGTGGCAGGAGGAGCCACAAGATCGGCTTTGACGCAACACCATGCGGTGAGGGGTAACCTGGCGGACGTGGCCTCCAAAGATAGCTCGCAGGAGACGTGTGTCAACCTGGTGGCCTCGTTTGTGGGCCTGTATCTGCTTTCGATTATCAAAAGCCAAGCAGTGCTTTACACCATCTTCTACGTCGTGGTCAGTCTTCATCTATACTCCAATCTCAAGGCGGTGCGAGCGGTTTGTTTGCGGACCTTCAACGAATCGCGCTATCTAATTGCCTTGGAGGAGTTCTTTCGTTCGTCGAGGATGCTTAGTCCCCAGCAGGTAAAAGTCCTTTCGTACTGTACTTTCAAAATCCTGAATATCTACCTAATCTGCAGGTTAATGCCATGGAGCGCGTCACTATTGGACAGACGGTGTCTGTATCGCTGAACATAAAGCTGGGACTGAGCGTGAAAAATCTGATCGACGAGTACAAGAGCAGCAGCGTCATTGACAACATTGTGTCGTCCTTCGATCCCCACGAGCACTTCATCATAGCTGAGGGCAAGAAATGCCTGGGAGTCTATCTGCACTTTGACACACGACCCCTGGACGTGCTCAAGGCGTACTTCTTCGCAGTGTCCTATCTGCAGGACAGGAGTCAGATCAAGGATAATTACTGGGACATTCAGAGCAAGTGGCAGGAATTCATGGCACTGGCACAAAAAGAAGGTAAGGGATATTCGAAGCTTAAGGAAGATATACATAAGATATAGATAATTTATTTTACCTTTAGGTTGGCTCATCCATCATCATTTGCTGCTGGTGGACGAGTTCCGTTTGGACTGGAAGATGTAAGAGGATTTAGTTTGGTGGTCCCGCCTGACTTTGATCTGAGTTGCTTGCTTTGACCTGAACAGTTGATTTCGGATTCATACGAACTTCATTATCATTATCACATATCTCACATTGCAAAGAGCGGAAATGAAAAATTGATATTGACTAAGTGCTATTGATATTTAATTAGATTTAGCTTTGTGAAACTCGTTCGCACGTGAACATCTTCCAACTAACTCTGCCTTAGCACAAATTAATGTTTGTAACCCCCATATTTGATAGGATATTTTATCTCCGGCTTTTAACCATGAATTTATCAAAAGATATTATTTTAATCGCTAGATGCTACTAGTGCTCAAGTGGAAATCGAAAAAGACACATGAATCTATTTTGTAAGGACTTATTGTACGTACGTATTTCGATATTTCGAGAATTTGCTATACGTTTTTCAATAATCCACGCCAGAAATCTCACAACGAACTACAGAAACCCGCTTCTCGAAAAAAATGTACAAACATTTTAAGCTTCTTTTATGCTAAACGTGCAATACTAAGTTAATTATTAGCTTTGAATATTTACATAAATACGGAATAAGTTGGCGTCCATTTAGCTTAAAATATTGCTTATCAATCAATATAACACATATTTAAATTGTGCGCTCACAAAGAAAATGATTTTAATGACAAAAATTAATAAAAACAAAAGAGAATTTTAAAGAAATTAAATATTTTTCATTATCAATTAGTTTAAGGATCTTATCATTAATGGGAAATAATATTGGCAAAGTTTAAATTTTAAAACTTCCCGCCCGTTTATGTGCCATTCACAGGGAGGCACAAAATGCATTTCTTGAGAATGCGTGTTTCTGGAAGAAGAAGCTAACACGTGCGCGTATTCAACGTGTTTTTAGTTTCGGCAGGCTTGTTTTATAAACCTAATCTGTGGGAATTCACTTATAAAAATGGAAGCTGAACAGCCTATGGCTGTGGAAACTCTATCTTCTAGTTCGGAACCTAAAACAATTGAATCACCAACCGAGCAAGGAAAACAAAGTGATTCGGTTGAAACACCGCCAGCAGATAAGGAGGAAACAACGCCCCTTAACACCTCAGGTAAGCTCTTCAGAATACCTCCTGATAAAATAAGCAATTAAATACTTTCCATTGCAGATACCACAATTGCAGTGGCAGCACCTGTTGAAAATGCAAAAGTAGGGAACGAGGCTTCCAAAGGCGAAGAACCAAGCGCAACAGTACCTGTAAATGAGTTGGCAAAGGATCTGGACATGGAATGTGATTCAGCCCCAACTGTGGATACGACTCTAATCTCCTCGCAGCAACAGGATTCCTCTCAAAAAATGGATTGTGAAACTCAGGAAGGTGGAATATCCAAAATACCACCAGGACCTTCGGCTGCTCAGGACTCTGCGGCAAAATCAACATCTGGCCTCGGTCTCCTTGCAGCGTATGATTCGGGTGCCGAGGAGTCGGACGTGGAAGAAGTTCATCGAAATCCGGACAGTGACAACGAAGTGATCGAAGTCCCTGTAACGGACACTACCACGTACCGACGACCGGTGGTGGATGTGAGCTCGAGCAGTGATGCCTCAGCCAGCAGCAGCAGCAGTGACTCTGATTCTGATTCAGAAGGAGAATACCTAACCGTTCTCCGAAAGAAAATTGAAAAGAAAATCAACACGGAAGATTGTGATGAAGATGACGATGATTTCGATGAGGATGGCGCTTCCGGAGACCGCCCAAGACGCCGACAACCGCCCAAAGTTAGGGGAGAAATGCTGCTCGATGACCTTCCGCCTATACACCAACTAGAAATCACGGTGCCAGAAGATGAATGCGTAGAGCTGGGAAAGGTTCATTCCATAGTTGACCAACTGGTTTTGGTTTCCGTAATCCCAAATTCCTCTCTGTTTGACCTGGATACGGTTCTGTTTTTGGAAAAGGGCCGAAAGGTTCTGGGTGAGGTTTTCGATGTGCTTGGTCAGGTGGCGGATCCGTTGTATTGTGTCCGCTTCAACAGCAACAAAGAGATAAAGGACAGGGGAATAAACATTGGCGATGTGGTATACTGTGCCCCAAAAACGGAGCACACCCAGTTTGTGATTCTCTCAAAACTGATGAAAATACGAGGATCGGACGCATCCTGGGAGCATGATGTGGAGCCACCGGAACGTTATATCGATTACTCGGATGATGAAGCTCAACGCGAAGCCAAACATGAGCAACGAAAGCGTAGACAAAGAGATCGTACGAACTCAACAGACTCCGTCGACACGGTTACGTCGGTTGCAACCACAGCCACAGAGGCTTCAGTGGCAGCTCCACCACCCCGGCAGCGAGGGCGACGCGGCCAACGGGAGAGCTTCCGGCAAAACCAGAGGAACTCAATGCCCCAAAACAACCAGAATTCGAATCAGCAAAGGGATCAGCAGTACAACTACCACCCCAGCTACAATCCTGGCAGCTGGCATTCCAACTATTACCATAACTACCATCAGCCGCCGACCAATTTCAATATGCCACCTCACCCAGGCATGCATTTTCCGATGCCCAACTACGGCTACGGAATGCCCTATGCTGTACCGCCAATGATGCCCATGAATGGATCTCCCCATCCTCACCCGCCCCATCACATGTACCCGCCACCGCCGCCATTCGCTCCGCCACCAGCGCCGCAAAATGGACATCCTCCTCCAAGTTAAACATAGTCTTTTTTGTGAAATTTTATTTTTACTATATTAAATAATTTCCTTAAACAATTTTTGTGCGTATCATTAAAAATGTGATTGGCTTGCTCGATAAAATGCATGGTTTCTTAACTTTTGTTGTATAAAAAGGTACTTAATCTGCGTGGGATCATTAAATATCGTTGCAGGTGTATATATGTACGTGCCTATGTCTATGTGTACTTGGCTTGGCTTTTTATCGTACAGCGGGAAGCACTAGAGGCCGAAAACAACTTGAATTTGTATAAATATATGTGTAAGTGCTTGCATGCTAACGCTAATTTAAAATATTTTGTATAAACATGTGTGTGCGTTTTGTGTGTTAATTTTGTGTCGGTTAACAGCTGCCTCAAAAACTTGGATCTTCTTTGGAAAACCTTCCCATCTGCTTAACCAACCTTAATTTATTTTGATTGAGCTTATTCAAGAGCAACCAAACAAGTGGCCTGGCCGGACAATCCCCGGTCCAAGGACCACGCTAGGCACGTGAGAATATGTCAATAAGGTGTCGACGTTTTGAGTTATTTACACTTCAACAAAATAACAAAAATGTGTCCGAATGGGTGGCTGGTAAAGAACATAATAATGTCGAATATAATGTTAAGATTTGATTTGGAAAGGGTGAATTTCTCCACTTCCTATACCCACCCAGAGCGGGTAACACTTGAGAAACTTCGATGTTTGGATTTCCGTAGCTCCAGCTGCAGTCTATTAAGGCTTCTCTCCGCATCCTAATCATTGCCGATTTGTATTCTCGGTTTCAGTAGTACCACTACAGCTGTGATATTGTCCTGGGAATCGTTCTCCTTGGCGGCCTCTATTAGCAGCTTGGGAATGTCGTCCAGCTTCATTGTAGGATCGGCTAGGGATTCGTAAACGGTGTCAATGACAAAAGTCTCGGATACATGATCCCACAGGCCATCGGTCCCGAGGACCAGGAAATCATGAGCCTCATTCAGCTGCACATCAACAAAATCGGGCTCCGCAATGACTGCATCCAAACAGTAATCGCCAATGGAGCGGGCCACGTTTAGTATGCCGTTCACCCTCCACTGACCCTGTGCGTGGATAACTGAGCCGCCCGCTGCTTCTATTCTCCTTTTCTCATCCGGATTCTCTGGTTTGTGCGGTTTCACCAGCTGCAGTTGAGTTCTTTTGCCCACCAAGAGAGCCTTCGAGTCCCCTACCCAAGCTATGCAGAGTTGGGCCTTCGTGATAAGGGCACAAACACTAGTGGTACCACTGGTTATTTTCTTCTGCGTAAAGCGATCATCTGCCAGGAGAAAGGCCGACTCAAAAGCATCACGATACAAGTCACAGGAGTGGGAGGTAGAGGATTCCGGATTGGCTTTAAGCTGATCCGCCAACAGCTGGGGAAGCTGACTGGTCGCATAGCTAGCGGAGAGGGAGCCGGAATGGCCATCAAATACCCCAAAAAAACGAGAATCCTTGTCTTCCAGCCCAAATATGGCTCCAAATCGTTCCAGGCAGAGGTGACGATCCTCCATTTTTCTGGGCTTGTTTTTCACAGCGGCGGACGTGTGACAAGAATCAACATCCACGTGGCCCATACATTCTGAGGCTATCTGACAGATAGTACCCTCATCGGCATAATCCTTGAGGCGCTCCATCTCAGAGTTGTCGGTGAGCTTGATGAGAAACTTTTCCAACTCGCTTGCAGCAAACTTTTGCAGCCTGAGAAGGTCATATTGGAGGGGACCCTCTCCGGAGACCTCGCACTCCTTGGCGTAGCATAGATCATGTTCCACTTGCAGCACTGATTGATGAAGCAGCTTTACCCGGAACACTTCCGGGCACCCCCGCAACACCAACTGCTGCCAAATCGACGAAACCAATTCAGCGTGGCGCTCCTCGCTGGAAACTTTGTAGGTGTCATTATTCGTGCGGGTTACACAATTACGACTTGTAGCCTCTTCGCTTGTGGCAGCCGCCTTTTCCGCCGTTGCAGCCAGAAACTGTTTGAACACCACCAGGTGCGCACATTCCGTTGAAATTGCATCCGACGACATGTTTGAGGGGTCGTTCGCGTGCCCCCGGTGCTGCCTTCGCCAAGTTCGCCTTTAGGAAGTGATTGTTGCTTATTTAGCGATGATTCACCCGCGCAATAGCATCTTTTATGTTTTTTATGTTGTTATTGTTTGCGTTCTGGTTTGTTGTTCTCAGAAGAGCTGTAAAAGCATCGATACTAATATCGATACATCGATGTTTCCTTATTTTGAATTTGTATCGATTTATATTGTGGAGTATCGATATATCGCGCTGAACAGCATTCTGTTTCTTGTCTTAAAATAAAGATTTATTATTACTATTTTTTACTGCGTTCTATTATTAATAAGACGAAAATACAAACAAGTTCTTTAGGGCCCATAAATTAAATTAAAGTAAAAAAGTGTTTGACAAGCGGTTTAAACGATCACCACTAGCAAGGGGTGCGGGAAAAGGTTTTAAAACAGCTGATTGTCGATGTTCCTGATAGTGTTACAAAGCCAATTTTGATTTTTAAGTTAATTTACGAAAAATATGCTTTGAGACTTTTAAGAAATAACACTACTCAACATGTCCACGCCGTTAGAGCAACAGACCGACGAGCGCGAGGCGTTACAGTCTATTTATGAAGGCGACGAGCGATTCAAAGAAATTGACGCAACCACATTTCAGTACAAAGTGAGCCACATGGATGAAAATATGTCCGGAATTTGTCTAACAAATTTACTTTTTTACAATATTTAAGTATGGAGAGGAAGATGACTACAAGTCTTTTCTCGTGGAACTTAAGTGGGGCGAAAAATACCCGGATGAGGCCCCCACCATTAATATGAACACATTTTACAATAGAAGTCTGTAAGTGAAATGTCTGATTGAGTCTGCAAGGTGTTTTAAATGATTTTCGTATACCTCAGGCTTCCGGCTGTCAAGGAAGGGATCCAAGCCGCACTGAGCACGGAGGCCGAGCAGTGGCTAGGATGTGGCATGACCTACACCCTTTTCGAGTGTCTCAAGGATAACCTAGAACAACTAACAGCCGCCCAGCCCGAATCCGCACCCAGCGTTGCAATCGTAGATGAAGGTGTGGGGGCCCTGAAAATCTCTGATGCGGATGCGGAAGCTGATGCCAGGAAAAAGGAGCCCAAGAAGGAGCAGCTGACCAAGGCCCAGAAGCGCAGACAGTGGGAAAGAAGTGATCATAAGGGCGATCGCGCCCGCGGTTGGGACTGGGTGGATTTAGTAAAGCATTTGTCGCAGACCGGCAGCAAGGACGACGCCCAAAGTTCCACCGAAATTTCCACCTCCACTCCCGCTCTGCATCCCCTGAACAACTAAAAGAATCTGCTGAATCAACATTACAACGAAAAATCAAAGCTAATCGTAGGATAATGTGATCAATGCCAGTTTATGAATCGTTCTGTTGGAAGCTATTAAAAATGCCAGTTAATGAATCCTTTTGTTGGAAGCCATGTTAAAGTTTCAAAGAAACTTAAATACGCTTGGCAGCATTGAAAAGAACTCTACTGATAAAAACGACCACTTTTATTTTTTTAATGGAAATAAACGTAAAAATCTTCCAGTCCTTTGACGATAATAAAAGCATTGTATAATTGAAGGAATTATTTTTGGTCTTTTGTTTTTATTTTTATACGATTGCGTAAAATTATTAAAAAGAACAAAAGTTGCATTACTTAAAAAATCTAGTAAAATTAAATATAACTATTCAAAGACTACCTCATTAACTTTGAGCCTTTTTTTTGTTGGCCTTTAGAAGTTTTGCCTTCAGCGCCTTTACGTCCACTTTGGAGGATGCATCCTCTGCCAACAAACGCTTTTTGCTTGAAGAAGCCTCTTCCGTGGGAGGAACAAAGTCTTTGTTCCGGCGCTCATCCTGCCTCTTGGCCGCCTCTGCCTGCTTGGCACTACGCTCTTGCTGGCGTTTGGCCTGCTTCTGTTCTTTATTGAGGAAGTACTCGCCTGAGGCCAGTTGCTTGTCCACCTTACTTTCCGGTTGTGCTGGCGGGAATGGTGTGTACTCCTTCTTGGTCTTCTTGACCTTCGGTTGCTTGCGTTTGCTGATGTTCTTGTTTTTGAACTTTGGCAGGAAACGCGACCAGTCTTCGTTGGCTAAGCGCGGGTCCTTCATCAGCTCCCGCTTGATCATGAGCGCCTTGATGTTGTAGATGGGGTGCACGTTGTTCATGGTCTCCACCACGATGTCCCTCACCTGCTGAAGGCCCTTGTAGGGCCCTAGGGCCGCGACTGTATTTCCCTGCACCAGGACGTAGCAGTCTGTGAGAAGTTCTATAGACTTCAAAGTGGCTCCATTGGGTCCGATTAATCGCTGGCGCCGCTTAACGAACTTCTCTTTCTTGTGCACTAGGTTGCCGATCTTAATAATGTCACAGCCAATATCGTCCTGTAGCACCCGTTTCGCCTGCTCAAAGGGGACACTCCTGGCCATCAACTTGATCATGTCGCGGGCCTTGATTATAATGTACGGGTCCCATGTCTTGCGACTGGTCTTCACCACCATGCTGCCCTCCACCAAGTCCAGTTCTGCCTTTAGGTGGTGTTCGGCTACGCACTGCTCCACCAGGGGCCAAACTTCCTTCAGGTACCTCTCACGATACTTGGGAAAGAGAGTGGCGAACGAGCTCTCCTCCACCATGCCGTGAGGGTTGTCCTCCGGCTTAAAGGATGGGATTTTCATGGCCCACGCATTTTCCACCGGCTCTGTGCTGATCCGGGTTTTCTCCGTCTCGCTGTCACTCATATTTAAGGTGTCCTTCGCGATTTATGATTGATAAGCCCCTTCTGATACCTCCACAGGTTGAATTGCTTTGCACGCTTGTTCTGTCCTCAGTGTTGAAAAAACTCCTTTTTATTTTAGTGTTGTAAAATAGAAGTTTTAGATTCAGTACTTGAAAAATTTTGAAAGTGTTGCAAAATAAACCTCTAAAACATCGATAACTACTACAAATTAGGTCCCATATAAATGTATCGGGATTTCGTTTGAGATTTTTCGATACATTGTACAGACGTAGTACGAGTACGGAAGGAATTTTCTCGGAAAAAGGAAAAAACGTCGCAAATAAAACAAAAGTAAGGCCGATTCAAGAACAATTTCTCCCAAATTTATTGGTAGGCAAATAAATAAATACTGGACTGAAGTGTCAAAGAAACAACAAAGAAGAAAGTCTTCAGTCTCGCTTTTTGGGGCGTGGACGTTTTCGAAATTAGCGAAAGTTACTTGCGGAGGTGCTTGCTGAAAAAGAGAGCAGTTGAAAGTGGCAAAGGGTAGAAATACCTTTTTTACTACAAACAAAACTAGTTTTATAGATTTCTTTTTGGGTAATTTTTGCAACTACGCAGTGAAAAAAATGTGAAAAGAAGATGGCGTCACCACACGCACTTCTCTTTGTGTTCGTGGCATGGAGCTGCCAACCCGCTTGGGTGTTAAAATTACTTCTGAAAAGTAAAAGCGAAACGAAGTAGGTTACGCTTAATATTTGATTTGGAATGCATGTCAAATGTCAATTTAGACGAAAAAAAAGAGCTGAGAATCTCATTTGTGAATCAAACGTTCGGATAAATTTATTCAAATCTGGTTACATCTGAATATTGAATATTTTGTGGAGAGTGGTTATCGCTACTGCACAGGGCTGCCGCACATGGCAGATTCGCCTATCGATTTTTCGATCATACTGCACTTCGCTTTTCTAGTGTCTGAAGAAATAGTTCGCTGCGCGACCAAAACACGTTTTTCTGCAAGAGATTTCACAATAAAGTATTTATCAACTTCTGAAGCGTTGCGTTTAAGCGTTTCCTCGCTTTAACTAGCGTTGCAACTGCATTCTTTGTCCCAAGTCTATATATTGTAGGGTCATAATACTGCTTATACTTGTTGAAATTGTACTTAGTTTGGTGTTTATTCGCTGTTTTAGGAATTTCACAAGGCTTTCAAGGCTGATTTCATTGGAATTACGTAATCGGTGGATTTTTGGTATCTATTTGTAACGCACACATTCAAACGAGCGTTGCTTACACGCACATACACATGTACGCACGTGCATGGTGAAAACGGCACGTGCGGGAGTGAGAAGGAGATACGGCATAGCGTTGCCAGACTTTTATTTTTTTTTAACCCAGAAACGATAAAGAAAAATGGTGAGTTTGCAGCGGAAAAATTTGAAACTAGTTTTATTTAAAAATTTTTTTTTTTTAACAGCCGCGAATAGTACCGTTGCAGCTTTTAAGGTGCCTTAGGGTGCTGTTGGACAACAATGGGGGAATTTTAAGTTCTCAGGAAGTCAAACGGATATCTGGGTAAGTTTTCCGATTGATGGTTAAAGCGCCCCCTGGCGACAGAAACTTATTTCAATTTCCCTTTTTCAGATTGATGGCGAAGTATTCGAAAAAGTTGGTTTCTAAATGCGTCTACGTGCAGATCCTGAAGTCCACCAAGACAGAATTGCTGGGCGATTTCATGGCCGTAGGCGGGTGGTCTCTCGTTTACACATGGCTCAACGACGCTATCAGAGCGATGAACTGGCCCCTGGTGCAAGAGATCTTGGAGCTGCTGCTCCTCTCCCCGGTAGATGTGCATCGCCTCAAGATCAACTCGGCTCCTATTTTGGTCAAGGGTCTATGCAAGGATGGCGGCAATGAAGGTAAGTTTCAACATATTTTACCAATTTTTCCAGCTTTAATATATCCGGATTTTTTACCCTCTGAGGATTACTAATTATGTGATTTTCGACCCATGTTCCAGGTGTACGCATTTTGGCCAAGCGGCTGGTCGAGCAGTGGCTAAAGATCGTGACGGAAAACGCCACCGGTGGGTCTCTAACGATGGCCCAGCCCCAAACCACCTCCGCAATGCAGTCGGCTCCTGGCGTAGCTTCGGTTCCGGACACCTCCAGTAGTGCGGTCTCTCTACCCGACTCTGCGTCTTCCTCCGACAGCACAGACAGTACAGGAGCTCCGGTCACCTACACCATCACTTCAGGGCAAAACAGCAGCAAATCGAACAGCATAACCATCAAGTGGTCGTCTATGGACAAACCGGATGAAGATTCTAATTCCATTAGCGAGAAGGATGTGAAGCCGGACAGCTACGATGCAACAGATGCAGCACAGAGCCCTAAGACTAGTGTTGGTCTGGGGAAAAAGTCGAATTCCACTTTAGATGATAGTAGTTCAGCGGCAGATGCCAAGGCTGGGGAAGATGTTGATAATAAGAAGAACAAGAGCGACAAGAGTAAACGGTCCGAAAAAGAGCGCGGGAAAGATAGAAAGAAGGAGAGCTCCTCCAGTCACAGGTCTTCCTCGTCTAGCCATAAGTCGTCTTCGTCATCGTCGTCGTCCTCCTCCTCTTCGAAGAGCTCTTCCAAGAGCTCTTCCTCCTCCTCCTCCTCATCCCATCGCAGTTCCAGCGATAAGTATAGAGACAAGGACAAGTCTCGCTCAGGTTCCAGCTCCAGTTCGAGCAAGGACAAGGAGCGGAGCAGTTCCTCCTCTAATAGACACAAATCCTCAAAGTCCTCTTCATCCTCGTCGTCGTCCTCCTCTTCGTCTATGTCGAGCTCAAGCTCCAAAGACCGCAAGGATAAGTCGTCGTCGAGCTCTTTATCGTCATCCTCGAAGCAGGAGAAAGACAAGGATAATAAGCTGATGCCTCCGCCAGCGGCGTCTCCAGCTTCTTCCACAAAAGAAAGCGATGCTCAGAAGCCCAGATCAATACCTATCATGTCAAGAAAGGCCTCCATTTCCATTGAGATCCGCAGAGATACGGAGAAGAATGCTTCGGTAAAGACGTACCAGTCCAAGTTCCGATCGCATGGCTTGACAGAAGAGGCGCCGCCTCCACCATCTAGAAAGGGACTGAAAAAGCCGACTTCGACGACTCCCACGCCCTCGGCTTTGGTGGTGGCGCCAGCCGTGAAGCGACCATCGCCACCGCCGAGGGATACGCCCTCTGAGAAGAAGCCGAAGATCGACATCAACAACGTGGCCGGTCACGTGGAGCGGCCCGGTGCCGCTAAGCTGATAGCACCCAAAAAGAGTAAGCATCCTTATGTCAGAAGCCCTACTAATACTTTGCTTTCTTTTCATTCCACAGCCCAGGACTGGTGGTTTTTGCTTTTGTTCAATTGACTGAAAGTCTCGTTATGTATTATTTGTTAATCTTTTCGCAATCGTTTGGAGACTGAAGGTGTTTACTTTGCTTCGGGCGGGCTAAAATTTAATGAGTCGTGTGTGGGGGTCGTTTGTATGCTTGCGTAGAAATTTTTGTATATAAATTGGCACCGATCCCGAGTGGCCAACCCTGGTCGTGGGGTCTATTGATTTAATTGTAAATTGCTAGTGAGTGGACGCGATAATCTTAACCAGGAAGTAACACTCTGGACGAAGACGTTCGACATTGTGCCCGGAGCCCCGGCACTGCGCATGCGCTGATGCTAGCCGAGAGACTGAAAGCGAAACTGAAAACGAAAGCCGGCGGAAGATGCCGCTGGTGTTAAGTATCCAACTACCAACTCGAACCATGAACTTTAATTGCTTACTTAGCCTAGCTATAAGGTATGTAGTTACAACATGGCCAGCAGCCCATTGCACCTTTTGAATAAATACGATTTCCTCTAGAAAAATACGATTTTTCTATTGAATAAAAAATGCATTGAGCGTAAAGAAACCAAAACACACATCTTAAATTGAGCTGGCGGTTGTGGAAGTTTGGTTAGCCACTGCTCACTGCTTGAGCGGGCGGTGGATCAGACTGACCATGACCCGATGGGCAGGAATCCCAGTTGCTCGATCGGTTGATCGCATTGCCCGGCCCGGATCGCTGTCGCGTGTCGCAGCGGGGTTTCGGGCTAGAGGGTCTGTTATCGCTTCGGTTAGATAAGGATATAACCTGCATACAAGAGCACATACGATGCGTCATGCTCGTCGAGGTGCCAAGTCATCGTTTAAAGATCGTTGCTTCATTATTTATGTTAGTGGTTGCGGTTTCATGTAACGTATTTATTTATTAAAAAAAGATTCTTAAAAATTTAATAGGGTATATGTTATGTTGGTTAATAATGCTTATTTTTTTAATAGTTTTACCAACAAAAGGAGAATTTAATTTTTCTTTTTTTTTTTTTTTTAATTTTAAAAAGCATTCATTTCTTACACTTTTTCACGCTTTAAAAATATGATTAATTTCACCATTTAGTTTATTGGTTATTTCTATAGCTTTTTATTACTAATAAAGTATTACCGCACTCACAGGGCATATTTAAAAAAAACCCCCAAGTTGGCTTTGGTTTTGGAAAGTTCTAAAAGAATAATAGATTGCAAGTTCAAACAAATATTAATTAAGGGGTAGTATAAGTAGTCAAAGGGTATAGTAGATAGGTTCATAAATTAGTCGTGGGGGTTATTGTAAACACCACTTAATCTAATTGCCAGGTTAATTTATGACCAGGGGCAGGGGGAACCATATTTTATCAAATACACCTTTGCCGGTCTCGCACGGTCTAAAATCAAAAGCAAAAACCATCATATGGGTCCTACAGCAAATATTCAGTAACTATATTTCATAGCATTTTTTTTTACTGTGTACTAATTTCTAATTTTTTGTTTTCTAGTACAAACCCTGGTGGAAACCAACCTGTTCTCGGACGCCTTGACCGCTTCGATCGAACCCAAGAAGGTGGTGAAACGGAAGAGAATAACGGCAACTTCGCCCACAGACAAGGATGCGCCACTGGCACCGCTCAAGTTCTACCAGGACACGTTGGACGAGTCCAAGGGCGAGGAAAAGTCCGATGACAGTGCCAAGGAGAATGACGACCTCCCTGGATCCCCCAGCAAGGACACGGATGCCGACGACGATGATATTCCCCTGAAGCGGGTGAAGGAGGACATCGAGCAAAAAGTGCAGAAGGAAAAGGCAGCGGCAGGAGGAGAGTCCGCAGAAGCTGAAAGTGCCACCGCGGTCGAAGAGGAGCCCGAGGAACCCCGGAAACCCGGACCTGGCTGCGGTCCCGACGGTCCGCCTGGAGTGCTTATGCTGCACCGCCGCAAGGGTCCCAAGAAGAAGCTCACTTGGCAGCCGGAAGACAAACTGACACAGGTTCGCTACTTTGAAGTGGATCGATCGGAGCGCGTGAACGTGACGAAGCAGAGCTTCCTCGAGATGAAGAACATGGAGCGGTTCAGCGAGCGTGATGCACTGACAATTGCACGGCGCGGATTTGACGACACCATGCAGCCCCAGATGGAGTGGCGACCGCTCATTGAGGTGGCCAACGTTCCGGATCACCCCAACGGAAATCTCTCCAAGCAGCGGCAAGTGCAGGCCGAGCGGGAGGCCACAACGCTACGGGCTCTGTACTTTTCGCCTGACATGATTCCTGATAGCCCCGCAGAGGCGGAGCTGGAACCGCATTTCGCCCATGACATTCCTGTGATTCCTATGGACGACCTCACCGGAAATCCCGATGCTGTCAACGACTACAGCTTGTTGCCGTGGCCGGAGCCCAAGGGATATGCTCCCAGTGCCGACAATCCAGGAAATAATCCGGGACCCAGTATGGCCTTCAATGATAATATGAGCCCCATGATGCCTGGCATGGGTGCAGGCCCCAATCAAATGGCCAATCCATTCGACCCCTTCATGATCCACCGGCCTGCGCCGACGGGCATTCCAGCTCCCAACATGATGCCCAACCAGGTGCCCAACGGACCACCCCAGATCTGGCAGAACCAAATGGGGCCTGGAGGACCTTCTGGCCCGCCAATGATGAACGGGCCTGGTCCGGGAATGGACATGAACAACATGAACATGAACATGAATATGAACATGAACAATATGAACAACATGCCGCCACAAAATTTCATGGGCAACCAGTTCGGCAGTCCAGTGCCTCCGTTTGGCGGTGGCCCACCAGGATTTAACCAAGGATTCCCGCCAATGATGATGAACGGACCCAATGGCCCAATGGGACCCAATGGCCCCGGACCGGGACCGGGACCTATGATGAACGGAGGTGGGCCCAGGAATAATATCAACAATAACCGGAACAAAAACAACGGCGGCGGAGGAAACTGGCGCAGCGGAGGAAACAACTTCCAGGAGAACTCGGGGGGAAACTGGCGCTCAGCGGGATCTGGCCCCAACCGAGGAGGCGGCGGCAACACGGGCGTCTGCAAGCAGTTCATGCGTGGTCACTGCAACATGGGCAAGAACTGCAAGTACGTGCATCCGCAGAAGAAGCGTATGTAGAATTCGGCCGAATCTTCTGCGGAAGATTCAACTGTATAGATCTCAGACGATCGCTCAAACTCCCCAAATTGCCTGGGAGCTGCGATTCCCGTCCTGGTTGCAGGAGTCCAGATCCCGCCACAAGACTGCTGTTAGATGTTAGCCGCGTTAGTTCGTACGAATGTATATATGTATGTACTGGATAAGTGTGTAGATTCAGGCTTTTCCACTGAGTTGTTAAGTTGCTTAGTCTAAGATTACCTTAATTTAGACTCCATATTCAGGACAAGATTTTGTTGCTTTGCTGTGTACTTATGAAGGGTGCATTCCCTATTCACTTTTATTGGTAATTCATATAATGAAATTTACAAACACTATGTGAGCTTGAAGAGACCGAAACTTAAATGCCATACCATTTTTTTGTTGTCTATATTTTGAGAATGAACTCGAAGTTTTATTGCATTTGTTTTGTATTCGTAGATTTAAGAAAAACATTAAAAACCAAAAAATACAAAAATCTGGTATAATTTGAAAGTAAAAATCACAAAAATTGTAACAAGGAACTGGTGCATATATGTATGAGGCCATATATGTATTTATGTTCAAGCAGACCTCTATCGAGTGGATCGCTTACTTATTATTGAACATTATTTTGGATATTGTGAACAATATACATATTCTATGGTTGGCCATTCATACATATATGAGGCATTAAAGTATTCGCAAAAAGATTAAAGACCCAGGACCCAAAAAAGCAAACTTAATCAAGTTAGGAATTATTAACTTTTGTAAATACAGTTTAAGAGAAAACTTTGATTAGGTTTAGCTTACGTTATTAATTATATAATAAAATCATATTTTTTACTGCAAATTTTAATAACATAAGAGTGTTACCAATTGCTTTGAAAAACCCAAAAGCCCCATGGCAGAGCATCGAAAATCAATGCGCCCCGATGGTATGCCATCATAGTACTTGCTCTTAGCCCAGTACTTGCGGGGCTTCCCTTTCGGAACCGCGACCCAGAATTCGATTTCCACGGCGTCCGCATTTAGTTTCGTGTATTTCATCAGCGCGCCGAGTCCGGATACCATGAAGTTGCTCACCCTGATGCTCACCTCCTGCCTGCTGGCCGCCGTCAGCGGACTGAGCTTCACCGTAACGTCGCGGATCTACATGGACGTGAAGCACAACAAGAAGCCGGTGGGCAGGATCACGTTCGGACTCTTCGGAAAACTGGCCCCCAAGACGGTGGCCAATTTCCGACACATCTGTCTGCGCGGCATCAATGGAACTACCTACGTGGGCGCCCGCTTCCACCGCATTGTTGACCGCTTCCTCGTCCAGGGCGGCGACATTCTCAATGGCGATGGAACCGGGTCTATCAGCATATACGGGGACTATTTTCCGGACGAGGACAAGGGCCTGGCGGTGGAGCACAACAGGCCGGGGTACCTGGGGATGGCTAATCGAGGGCCCAACACAAATGGCTGCCAGTTCTATGTGACCACCGTGGGCGCAAAGTGGCTGGATGGGAAGCACACTGTCTTTGGCAAAGTGCTGGAGGGAATGGATACTATTTATGCCATCGAGGATGTAAGTAGTGTTGCTTATACTTTCTTTGTTTTTATTTTTTTATTTTATCTTTTTAAAAATATTATTTAATTAACTTCTCCTTTCTCCCGCCCTTCTCATAGGTGAAAACGGATACGGATGACTTCCCTGTGGAACCGGTGGTGATTTCCAACTGCGGCGAGATGCCCACGGAGCCCTTCGAGTTCTATCCGGACGACTTCAACATCTGGGGATGGATCAAGGCGGCAGGCCTCCCTGTGACCAGTTCATTTCTGGTGCTACTCATCTTCCACTACTTCTTCCGCCAGCTAAACATGTACTGCTGATGGAAACCCTCCACCGAGGGAGAAAACGCTTTATTACTGCACATAAGTGAATCCCAACTCCCCATGCTCCCCAACATCCCACAATAAATGCATATAAGATACAGAATTTGTCTAGGACGTGAGGACGCCTCTCATTAGGATGGGCAGAGTCGGACCCATGTGAAGCTGTGGGGAATAAAAAGTTATTAAGTTTGGCAGGAACTTCCACTAGAATTATGATGCTCACATCGATGTAAATGTAGTCCTCCACCAACTGGTTCTTCGCGAAGAAGCGCTCCTCAGGCTTAAAGAATCCCACCAAGGTCACATCCACCCCCGAGTAGTTTGAAAGGCAGCCGGAGTAAACTTTGGCCAGGGTGAAGTGGTGCTTGTGGTCCGGATACACGGATGGATTCAGGCTGTTGTAGTACTCCTCGATGAGGCGTCGGTCCTTCGGCGTCAGGTCCCGTTGGTGCTTCACCAAGCTGTCCAGGTCAAAGGAGTGCGAATGCTTCAGCTTCGGATCCTCTGCGTCCATCAGGCGCTCGAACATGTTGCGGTACTTGTCCTTGAAGTACTCCAGGGCCTTGCACTGCTCCGCCCAAAATGAAAACTTCTTGTCCAAGCTTTTGAAAATGTGTGAAAATAAATTAATTTAAATTTATAAAAGAGATTAATGTTTTAAGTTGATATGTAATTAAAATAAAATATTGAAGGATCGTAAGGTTCTATTAGAAACAAAATAAAATCTTAAATATTCGTATATTAAAACTGTCTTATAGCTCTTAAAAAATAAAAAATATTGGGAGTATTTTCTGAAAACATTTGTACTCACTGCTGTGCTTCGGCTACGTTAAAGTCCACGTACAATCCGGGAATCCTTACGGCTGTCCGAGCGGCGGCTATAAGTTTCCCGGGACCAAAGAAGTGAAGCTTGATCTCGAACTTCCGCAACGTGTTCCACATGAGGGGACCCAGTTCCAGAACGTAGCTCTGCTGGTCACAGGGAATGGGCTGCACGGTGAAGTGCTTGACCATCGCAGGAGGCTTATAGCCCTGAACCTTGTGCAACTTCTGGTAGCTGTGGTACACCTGCTGGTGGAGGCTGTACAGCTCGGGCTTGAAGCGGAGGCGTTGCATATACCGCTCGGCAAGGATCAGCTGCCGCAGAACCGTGGCGTGGGGCAGCTCTTGGTTGTTGTTCACCATCACGTAGGTGCGAACCATACGGAAGAGGTGGAGGTCGTGCTGGGCCTGCCGCTCGGAGGGCATGTCCTCGTCACTGGAGGAGAGCAGAGTAAAGTCTTCGGAGACAGAGTGACCGAGATCTTCCTGCTGGCCCTCCTCTTCGCCGATGTGCTGTGGCTCCTCATCCAACTCAGTGATGGTGCGGAAGATCTCGTAGTAGTAGATGCGTTGCAACAACCTATACTCCTCCTCCACATCGCAGGGTTCCATTGGAACGACGGGGAGCACCGAAGTCATTTCTAGAATAGGCATCACGCCTTGCCCCTTTAGCCAGAAGTATTTGGAATCGCTGTTGTTGATCACCGTTCCGTACGAGTGCCGGAAGCTTTCGCTGAATCCGAGGATGCCCTTCACCCGGATCTGATCTGTTTCGAGGGGGCCCAAGTTAATCAGGTCGCTGGATATAAGCTTGCTAAAGCCCTCCACGAGGCGTTTCTCTGGGAGCGCTTCCCCTGCTACTTTGCGGGAACTAACTAGCTTGGCCGGCTGAGGCTTCACCTCTACGACGACCAACTGGAGCGGGTACTTCGTAATGTTTATGACTTTGACCACCGCATCGAAGGTCTCATACCAGGGCTGAATGGAAGATAATATTATTTAAAATTCAACTTAAGAGAGTGGGATAAATCACCTTAATGCCCATGTAGGTGCTGTCCTTGTAGAACTTGATCTTCTGCCCCAGATTCACCAGGACGACGGAAAATCGTTGACTCCGTCCCCCGAGCACCGACAGCTCAAAGACGGCCCGCATCTCAAAGTTTCGCCGGATGTGCGGCAGGTGGAGCTTGCACGCCAGATCAGTTGTCTGGGCGTCCGGGATCTCCACCGTTCCTGACTTCTCGTGGAAGTAGATGTAGCGATTGGCGAAGCAGTACTCGGTTGACGGCTCCGACCACTTGTCACTGGACTCGATGTGCAACCTAGCCAGAATATCGTTGATGGTTTCACGCACCATACTCGAGGAGCTCTGATCAGCGTCCTCCTCCACACCTTCGTCGGCGGGGTAGAGAAGAGGACGATTTTTCAGCTCGAGGTCGTTGATAACCTCGTCCAGAATTTCCAGAATCATATCGCTGTTTTCCACTTCACGCCGAAATTGGCAGCGGCATTCCTGATACCTCTGAGTCATATTCGACTCTTCGGAGCAGCTAAAGTCGTATTCCAGCATGCGGAGAATCTCGGAAAGGAGATCGGCTACAATGCCACCTGGATCGTCCTTGTCTCCTATGAAGACCTCGCTGGATTCCAGCCTCTTCCATTTGAACTCCGCTGGCAGGCAGCCTTGATTCACAAGATGTACGTTGCTGTCGTACGGAGATCCTCGATCGAAAAGTACGACTTCCGGTTGCAGGATGACCACATCTGGCACTAGGATAGCTACCCGTAGGGACAGGGGTCGGAGCTGCTTCCCCAACGCGAACACGTTAATTCTTCCCTCGATTTGACGGCAGAAGAGCTTCTTCATTGCCCCTCGATTAAGGGCGACAAATATCTCCTTCCGCTCGTTGCCACTCATCTTTATCATAATCTCCTTCTCGAAGCTATCCTCGTACAGCTCCTTGATTTTGAAGGGGCCGGTCACCTGAAGAATCACCTGGTCAATGGGCAAAAAACACGGATTAATAAGGACGGGTGTTTCAACGTAGGCTCGGTCCCTCAGAGGCTCGCAGTGCTTGTAATCGAAGTTGACCTGAAAATAGAAGGTTTCTTAGGGTTATCCTTGGAAAACGTTCTCCAGGAACTTACCTGCTTGGGACTCCACGTGAGCTGGGCGTCGACGAACTTGGCAGTGACCCTGACCCGGATAATGTGCTTGCGTTGCGGGTACTTTTGGTCGATGACTTGCAGCAGGAAGTCGCCGATGCACCGTCCCTCGACATATGAGCTGGCCAGGAGGTCCAGTCTTTCCTCGCAGTTGGGAGGCAGGTACAGATTCTTGGGGTCCATGTCGAAGCGCGACGTGAGGGCGTGCAAAGCGCAGTGGGAGGTCTCCGGACCGATGCTGCTCAGCCGGATGATCACCACGCGGTAGGCACGGCGGCCTTTGTTGATGACCCGCACCGGGAAACGATGATTGTAGATACCGTCCTGGAACTGCGGCAGAGTGTCAGTGTACAGCTGGCCGAAGTCGAAGCCCTCGCGGATGTTGGGCTCAAAGTACAGGGGAACCCCCTCCACCAAGAAGGTTATGGGCAGCATCATGACGTGGTCGAATTGCAGGTCGACGTACAGTGTGTTTTGGTACAGATCCGGATCAGTGAATAGCGACTTCAGCGTGGTGTACATACTCTGGCCAGTGGGTGCTAGCGCCCCACCCCTTAGGGTCAGGTATTGGAACGATGTGTCCTTCTGTGGGTTTTGGAAATATTATTTACCAATAATTGACAGAATATGTCCTTCCAACTCACCAGCTTCATGCTTAGCTTGGTATGGGTGGGTGTGTAGTTATCGATGTAGAAGTGCACTTCACTCTCCTCGTAGACATTGAGCCGGCAGTGGACGTACATCGGCGAGATCCGTATCTCCGTCGGCAGCACGTTGGCAAAGAGATGGAAGGGGTACGGGCGACAGGCCCCCACGATCTTGATCAGGCCCGAGAGGCGGGCTGTGCCCAGTGAGCGAAACGTGACCGCGCATTTGGCCGTGACATCTGCCTGGGCGTCAATGTAGAACTTCCAGGTGCCGTCGCGGAAGGTCATGTCAGTGGGCTGATCGGAGTCGAAGGTTGATGAAGGAATGGTGGTTTTGGAAGAAATGAGAACTTACAATGACATCGAAGTGGATGAATCCACCGACTGTGGAACGATTGGAGAAGTTCATGTCAAAAGCGTAGTCCTCTCCGGCATAGATGGTCCGAGACGAAAGGTCCACCAAGTTGTTCCACTGTATGTCGGGGGCGATGCAATTGTATTCGAACCAGAGCTTGGAGCAAAGGAACTCCGACTTGACTAGCGCCTTTACCACAGGATGGTCGTCACTGGACTCGGCATTGCCCTGCGGCGGAAGGGCGGGACAGATGCGCACGGAGAGGGAGCGGTGGTGGTAGCCGACCTTGTTCGGAATCAGCAGGATGGTGATGCTGCGTCCTGTGTTAGGTCGCAGATAGATGATCTCGTTGTCGCAGTATATCTCTCGTGGGTCACTCGGAATCGCGTTCCAGTCCATGAATATGTAATTATTGTGCTTGGTGAACACGGAAAAGTACTTGGTGTTCATTAAGCCCATCAGTGCCTCCTGGATGACGCGGCGGTCGGTCTCCGACTTGTCGAAGATCTTTTGCTTTTTCAAGTGAGTCAGCAGCTGGGCGGCCATTTGGGGAATGGGCTCTAGGTACAATCGTGTTAAAAATCAAGATTGCAAACCACTTTATATGAAATCTTACCCATCACATCTTCTTCAAACTCCATGCTGTAGATGGAGTCGTTCGTCTGGAAGGACTTTACGGACAAAGATTCGGGAACATCTTCCGTAAGCTGGATTTTCTCGTGCGGCTCTTTCGTTTGTCGTTGGAGGTCCTCGTGGACTCTTTGTAGGTGACGGATGGGATCGCGAATCGTGATGGGCAGCATCTCAGTGGAGTCGCGGATGTTTAGCACCAGCGGCGTCTCCTCTCCGTCGTCGGTGGGCTTCACCTGTAGCGTGATGGGCACCGCCAGAGGATTCATCAGAAGCATGTATCGCTTCTGCGGCACGGCCACCGGGATACTGCCGAACTCCACCAATTGCGGGAAGGTGCGCAGCTGTACCTGCTGCCCAGTGCCCCTGGGAAGAGAGAACAGTGGATGATAGTGGGATGGGTGATTAATTGGGAGACATGAATTACTTCAATGTAATCTTGTAGTGGGCTCCGTTCTCCACCTTGAAGCGCAACGTCATCGAGAATCGATTGGGAAAAAGCGAATAGAACGACAAATGAAAGACACCACGAGTGCACGGATCCAGGAGATAGCCCTCCGTGGGTGTGATCCTTATTCCGGCCAGATCCGGCTCCAGGCAGTCCTTGTATACCACCCGTGCGGGCACAGCTAAAAAGAGCGATCGTTATACTTCTTTAAAATATGCCACTTACCGTCCACGTTGAGGATCTTAATTTGAGCGCAGTGCTCTTCGCCGAGATACACCTTCCGGAAATCGATCACCTTCGGATGAGTCTCCACCTCAATGCCACCGATTTCGCCGGACACCACAACAAAGTGGGTTTCGATGCAGTCCTCCGCGTCGCTTACGCAAAAGTTGATCCGCGTGCGCTGGAAGTATGGAGGCTCCAGGTCGTCTGGAAAGGGATCGTTTGGATCGTAATGGGGTCGGAAGATGAGCTTGATTTCCCCAACTCCAAGGCCCGAGATTCGGTTTGGCACGATAAAATCAAAGTGTTTGTTCGCTCCTGGGTGATAGAGCACCTGTGAGATATCGGAGTCATCCTCGAAGTCGAAGAGAAGGATGCTGCGCATGCTGATTGCTTCTTCAATGATCTTGTTTTGCATGCCACTATCATTATCATAGCCACTAGTCGAGGACTCTGCACCTGTGTCCAATTTGGGATCCTTATAGAAATCCCCGCTAACGAACACCTCGTGAAGAGTTTCGTTGCATACAACGATGGTTCGCATCTCCTCTCTCGAGAACCTCGCCTGTCCAAATTCCAGCTTTCCTAGGCTCAGGTGTACTCCTATCGATTTGGGGGTAAACTGGAACATCACTGGCTTGGGGGGCACTAAAGAACACATCGCTGGTTAATCCGGACTGGAGGAGAATACCCACATTGAGATACCTACTCACTCCGAACTTGATGTTGAAGAAGCCCTTGTAGACTTGCAGCTTCTTTGGCTGGATTACCAGAAACAGTTTCACGTAGTCCTCTGGCGGCAGAACATCCTTGTTGTTGGTGCTGATCTCCAGACCACGGTTGGTGCTGTAAAAAGTATTGAAAGATAAATACATTTGGGTTATTGTAGAATCCCTCAAGTAATTACTTACTTTCTATACCGCACTCGAATGCGATCTCTGGTGGGATTGTACACGATCATTTCATAGTGGGTTTTGTTTCCAGGCACACAGCTGGGGAAGGTTATAGAGTCGCAGACCGATGGATCCTTAAGTTTGTCCAAAACTGCAATAAAAGCTTAAAACTTAATGGTCTAAAGGCTATTTAGTGTGGCTACCGATAATGGGCACTTGAAAGATAATGTTTGGGTGGAAAGCCTCGATAAAAATGTGGCGACGCCGGTTAATGTCACGCTTGGTGTTGCTTCTAATCCAGATCTTCACTTCCATCACCTCGTCGGTTTCCAGGTAACGATGCAGCTCCATTTCCGGAATGCTGATAGACGTATCTTCTGGACTATCAGTGGAAAGTTTTAGAAACCGCTGGAACTTAAGGGAGATTACTATTTATTTATTCCAATCTGTAATCATTGCCTTACCAATCCGTTGTTTCTGATGCTCAGGGTGAGTCCGTAGGTGTTGTTGACTTTGAAGCCCTTTTTGTGAATCATCATTCGAGGAGTGATGTGCAACGTGTCCACCATGTTGGAGAATTCGCTGTAATCTATAGGGAAGAAGATTTAGAAAACTCAAAACTCATTGTTTTAAAGTCGTACACTCTTTTGAAATGCAGCAAAAGTTTTTTTTGCTCGAGCGTCGCGAGGGCCTCGAGCCTCGGCTCTTGGAGATCGAAGATTTTTCGTTTGACATGTTGAATCGTTTTTGTGGCTGCTACAAGTCCGATCCTAAAAAAATATACATTTTAGGTATCTCTCGGTTTGTATTCAAATTGATTTCGATTTCAAAGCTTGCCTCAACTGACGATATTATTCCGACAAGGTGGGAGCCTTCTAGTTGAAACTTTCATCCCCGACCTTTCTATTTTTTAGCAACCAGATGGCAGCTCTGCAGAAGAGCTTTCAAGGCCGTTCGAAAGCTTTTAATTCAAATCGCCAATAACAATTCTTTGTTTCTTTTAAAATGTGAAATGAAATGTTTATTATATATTTCTTTTCAGTTGTTATCAACTTATAACAAAAAAACATTCTTATAGATACTATATTAAAGAATAGTTTTGTTTTATGAAATAGTCTGTATTAATGGTATAGTTTTACTGTATGCTTTAAAACATAGTATATAACCTTTATGATTGTTGTTTTTTGCTCTGTTGTTTTAGCCAAACAATTTCAATTTGGCAAAACCCCACGCAGCATGGGACCGGCCAAATGTCGAACGTGGTGCAGCCTCCGTTCTTAGGTTGACCTCAATTCCACCTCATCTCCAAGTCTGAACACACTGTCATTTAAAATTTCATAATTTATTGGGTAGGGTCTCTAAGGTAATATTTTTAAATGATAAGTAAAGATTGAGAAATAAAGGCGTAGGTCCAATCACTCTAAATATGAATATAAAATATTTTTGACTTTTTCGCGCAGTGCAGGACAAGAGCAGTCCCAACCGCAGAGCTTCCAATGCACAACAAAGTCCGGCAGCTTGCCTTATTTATTTTCTGGTCCGACCAGATCTCCGGCTCGCTCCTACGACTCCTCTGCACTTGGCAAAGAACATTTTGTCCTTTTGTGCAAAATTAATGATATGGGCCAAGAGCGGAGAGGACGGTGAGGCCTGGCATTCGTGCGGTTGCGATGGCCTCGCCATGTCCTATTGCCATTTTTATTGTCAACGGCCCCCGAACTTGAGATAAAAATTTGCCGGAAAGCCAAGCGACCACAAAACCGTACAAAGAAAATTGAAAGAAGATGGCGGTCAGGAGGGACAGAACAGGAGGCGATGCCAGAAGGGTTTGGTATTGGGACATCGGCCAGTGGAATTTGCATGTGTGCAGCATCCTTTTTGCCATTGTTTGGCTGTGGGCGTGGCCTGACCGCCCACTTCTGTTATCGCCGGCAAAGCGCTTATAAATCACAGCACTTCACATGCACAGGACCTCGGAGCTGGACATTCCAGGACGGACACGACCGCCAGCGAAGAGGAAGGAGGCGAATCCCTCGAGGTTTGAAAATTGCTGCATCCTTCGATGGATTCGCTTGTCCCGCTTCATGTTAGCTTGACGGAAAACAATTGCCAGGACTCACTGCCAGGACATTCCATCGTTCTCATCATAATGGTTGAGTTGGCGCTTTTATTGAGTACAAATTGGATGCCGTAATGATGACGGAGAACTGCTCTCGCCGGTTTAAGTGCCGCCCTCCCCCATTGCTCACTTTTGGCATCCATTTTTATGACATCCAATCCGGGTCTGCGACTGATTGCACCGCTCCGGAGCTCCGGAGGCCAGCGGAACCTCAGCAATGGCCGGATCAACCTCTAGGGTCTGGCCATGGAAAGGGTTTTTATTTGTCCGGCTTATGTGCTCCTTACGACTGTAAAGTGGCAATTCTTTAACTGGACATTCCGATGTTGCCAAACCAAAGTCGAGTGTGTCTGGTTTTGAAAAGGAGGGACCGTGTGGGTGGATGGTGGTGATGGGTGGTGCGGAGGGCCAATAGTCTGCCCAAGGACTGCAACAGCTGACGCTACCCCTACCTTGGACCCTTGTCGTCGCTTTTTATTTTGTTCGTCCGTCGGAGGCTGTGAAATTTTCGTGAATTTATGAGCACTTGAGAGCAGGCGCCAACGCCAAAGGCAGCCCGGCCCCTTTCACCCATGCCCTTTTCCGTAGGACTTTGTTGGCCTAATATAAATTTCAGCTTGAATAACAACAGTTGCACTTAAAAAAATATGTGCTACAATTCAAGGGATATTTCGGCTCTGAATTATTTCGCACATGTTTAATCATAGGAAGAGGAATATTAATGGAACATAGGTTTTCATAAAATACATTTTAAATATGTTTTCATTAAAATGTGGCCTCCTATTTTTGGCTAGTGGCCTTCGTAGGCGGAGACTTGGCAACATTTTAATGCGCCAAGCGGTATTTGGCCTTTTTTTTTCTCGCCCCAAACAGGGCAATAAAACGGTCGCCAAATGTTATGAAAGGATTGCGGCCAAGTGCAAGTGCTCGTAAATCGTAGGCCAGAAAGGGCCAGTCGGACTGGAATGGCCCACGCCTTATTAAAATTAGTATACGTGGCACATAATTTTGCATTAATTCTATTCTGTGTGTGCCAGCTCTTGAAGGAGCGTTTGCAACTTCTAGAACACTAAGAGATAGTCTGGAACACTTTAAAGTATCTGTCGCCTTAAGTGCTCCTTGGCGGTGGGCAGGAGTGGGGACTTGAAGCGGTGCGGGGTGAGCAAACAAAATGCAACAAAATATTATGTTATACTGCGCAGCCAAAAAAAACACTCGGGCCAAGCAAAAACATTTCGAGCAGAAAACAAAAACAGAAGCAACAAGAAAAACAAACGCTTATAAAATGATAAGTTGCAGCTGGATGAGGACGTGAAGTCAAGTGAAATGCAGTAGCAGTAAAAGCTGAAGCAAATTGCCCGAGGACAGCTCCCAAGAGTTCCTCGGGATGGCAAGGAATAGGAAAGGACCTGCCATCGACGATATGTTGCGGAAATATTTTGTGTAAAATTATTGCAGCTCAAGTGAAGCCAAAACTGGTGGAAGGAAAGTCACTAGCGACTACAGGGATACCTTGTAATCAGCAATTACAATTATGTCTATGCCAATCGTTTCATTGACTTGTGTGACGAACAATTGCCTTACCTGACATCCAAAAGAGAAGCCAACCAGGATTATCGCTAACGTGTCGTATGCGCAATATTTTGACATGGGCTGACGCCACGCCATCTAGCGGGCAACCGCAGCAGCAACAGCAGCTAATTAGTGTGACAAATTGCTTAGTCAGAAGCAGCAGCAGAAAAGGCACAGTGGGGCAAGGGGGAGGAGCAGAGAAGGACTGACCGCATCCCCAGTGGTCAGTCAGCTCTGTCAGTCGATTTTGGGTCAATGCAGAATGAAAACTCATTAAAAATTTACAATTGATTGACTGCACAATGTTCGAGCTGGTTTTCGCAAAATTTTGACAGTTTTCGTCGTTCATTTCGGAACGATGGCGATGGCGATGCTGCTGGTGCTGATGATGGCCATTCCAAGTTGCTAAGTGATGCACACAAACGCATATGGACGATGTCCCTCGCCTGCCGCCGATCTGCCCCCCCGCTATGGCGCACCGCCTCGATGCCCACACTTCGATTGGGGCAATTTATGCTAATGCTCGTTAGTGAAATCAAACAGGAGCAGAGCAACAATTGTGTAAACAACAGGGCCGTAAAGCAAACTACGTACGTGTGCAATTGCATCGGAGAAGGATGGTCTACGGATCGGTGGGTCGGAGGACGAACGACACCGGATGGACGGACACTGAAACTACTGCAACTGCAACTGCATCTGTGGGTTGCACAAAATATTGACGCATATGTACATACATATATTGGCAGTGACAATTAATCTGCTAATTGCCAATTTAAGCACGTAAACCAAACACAGGCGGTGGCATCGACATGACCAGGGAGTGGCCACCGCATTGCCAGTGACAGATAGGGAAAGGCACTGGGAGAAATGATCAGGTAGAGTTTAATTAATCTTCTTGCCTCAGAGAGTGAAAGATAAATGTGTTTCTATCTGGTATTCATATTTCCCAAAGGATGAGATATCTGGGATATATTTCCTTTTCTTTTTAATCATAAAAGGTAAACTAAAGGTGGGAGACGGATAGTAAAAGCCATCCTTTAGCCCCTGGTTATTAGCCATTAAAGATACATTTTTAAGGCCATTTTCCCTGCGATACATATCACAGTGTACAGAAGGAGGCTCCACCAATGGTCCACATCGGGGTCAGCGTTTATGGGCTGCCGAGCCATTGGAAACTGACCAGGATGGAGGCCGAGGACTGCATCTGCAAGTGAATTTGATTTGCAGTTTGATTTATGCGTGCGACGCTCGAGTACTTCTGCGTAATTCGAGCTAATGAAAGTCAACAGCCACCGAGCAGGATGGAGGCCGTTTAAGGACGGTCGAAGGTGGGGCCGCCTCCCCGGGGCTGAGAGCCCAGTGCGTATGAATAATCAGGCTTTAAAGCGAGCCCGTAAATAAATTAGTTTTGCTGTTGACACGACAAATTGTCGGGCAGGAGGCGGAGACGTAACCGGGAAGTGCCAGCAACTCCGGAATCCGTAATGCCCGTTCCGGATGCAGTACAATTGTGATCTAATGAGCACGCACTGCCTCTTCAGACATCGGGCTGTTCGGGGAATGGAATTTATTTTATTTTGCGCACTTTCTTGCAAAACTTTCTGCTTAGTTTGCCGAGGAGGATGGAGGAGGGATGTTCCGGGGAGAGATGGGGCGTGTCTCCATGGCCTGTCAACTAAATACGCTCCATTGTTGGCAGCAGCCCTGCGCTGTCCTTTCTGCTCTGCTCGTTGCTGAGCCCTCACTATGACGATTGTCGCAGCTCATTAAACCGAAGGCAGGACAGCAAAAGGCAAGCCACAAAAATCCCTTTGAACAAAGACCTCCATTGTCCTTCGGCCCGTTTTCGTCCCGGCCACATTCAAAATGCCATTAAAAGCATACTAAAATTA